CCACCTCGCGCCTTCGTCGGCGCCGCAAAGCAAACGACCGCTGGTGGCGTATCTCCGATGAAAAAATCAAGGAATGCAAGACCTCCGACGTGCTGGGCATGCAAAAGGAAGTCTACCTTCTCTTCTACGAAATGGAGAAGCCTGCACATGGTCCGCAAACCCCTACTGCCATTTGATGCCTGTCTATTCTCTAGTGATTGTCCCACTCACTCACTTCCCCTTTCCCCTAGGGCCGTGAACATAGAATATTGAATGAACGATATATAGATGGAGGACTCGACATAAACTGCACATATCACCGACATTTACGTCTATATAACTAGTTAGGAGTTTGGGTTTCGCGCATGTATATGAAATATATGCATATATTGAACAAGTGTTACCTACGGGATGACATTTAAGGTCTTTTATCAAAGCTAGATTCTCTTTGTACTTAGGTCAATCGTGGAGATGTCATTTGTTACATGAATAGATTATCTTGAAGTTTCTGTTACTCTGCATACGTCCCATTCCATAGGTCTGAGGATCTAGACGTTGGTTTAGGATGTGTTCTCCAGACATGGGAATGGAATTATCCAGGCTTAACATATAGTTTACAATGACCAACCACTAAGAATAGCCCTTCTCTGATTTAAATCCTGGCCCCTATCCATTCCTGGAGCACATCCCGTTGTTTCGACTTCGACTCTCGAATCATAAACTCCGTGAACAATTGGATGTGAGCTTCCCCGGAGGCCGAGAAATGAGAGACGGTTGGATGAACGGCCTAAAAAAAAGGAGAGTCAGTGGTTTCACATTCCGCTTGCATTGATTTGAAGGAATGATAGTGGGAGATCAGCTCTGCCATACCGATAATTTTCTTGCAAACACATCAATGTCATCAATAAAGATCTCGTCCGCGCCGGAGACAATGAGAATATCACGAATTGGAAGACCAATCCACCATTCTGGCGGCGCTCTGAGAGGATCGAGATAATTGTCTCGGGGGGCGGTGCCGGTGAACTTGGCAGACCAATCTTCGAGAGCTGGGATGTGCAGGACGTCTTTGGTTCGATTACGTCTCATGGACTCAGAGGACTCGGTGTCAAAGGTAACCCATGGAGAGAAGAGAGCTGCACCGAGAAAAGTGGCTCCTGGAGGAAGAACTATCGGAGAAACCTCCGGATGAGGATGGATGATGTGAGAGAGTAGGGATAACAATAGGTGGCCGCCCGCGGAGTCCCCAGTGAGTATGACCTGGAATAGTGGGTGAGCATCGTTCTCATGGTTTGTGCACCGCTGTTGGTTTGGTGATCAACAGGAAAAGAAATGGAATTGACCATGCATACTTTAGATGAGGCGATTCCCTTGGTTTGAATGAGATAGGAAAGGAGGCTACATGCTTGCTCTAGCTGTCTTGGATAATGCGCCGTACTGCTTACATCTATTCCAATGTCTGTTAGTCGGCAGTTGTGTGGTATTAGACGTATAGTCGTACCGTATGATAGCAGTAACACAGCTAGGTTTTTGCCGGTGCGACGAAGCTCTTGCACGATGCTCCAAAGGCCTTCGAAGTGTGCACCGGTGGCGTATATGGCGTATCCGCCCCCTAATCAACTCGAGTTAGATATCAACGGCAAATCCAAGATAGAACTACGCCCATGATTACCATGACAGTGGAACAGCACATGTTCAGCGGAACTATCACCAATCCAGTGGCCCCGAGTACCATCCCCTAGATCCACCGTGTGGGCTGGACTATCTATTGACTTCACAAAGGCGGTATACGCTTGGTCCGTAGTCGGCGAAAGACCTCTGGAGGATTTGTCAGAAATCTGCGCGAGGGGATAATGCTTCCTAGGATCTGGTGATGACCATACACAATTGTCCGCGTGGGAAGATTGTGGACCACTTCTCGCATAGCTGTGTACGTAACATGGCGATAGTATGTCGAGGCTCGCTCCGAGCCCTGTAAAGGCCAAGCAAATGCAGCCGAGACAATGCTTGGAACTGATTGGCCAAGACGTCAATATTAGCCGGGTGCATGAAGGCAAAAAGACATGTCAGATGGCCAAGATATACTTGTTTTCAAGATTCCCCATCCAGCTGCCAGTCTGTCTCCAACCGACAGAGTTGGTTTTGTACCCATATCGCAACAGCTTTAAACCGTCAACGATAGGCTGGCTGTAGACTGAATTCCCCGTAGAGCACGATCAACTGGATAGTTTCTTCGATAGGTTGGATGGAGCTTGTAGGTTATGAACGAGATACTCGTCAGGTGTGGTCAACGGTAAGCACTATATCAATGCAAATCTCCGCCAATAATCTTCTGCATGGTGCAGTAAAAGATCAGCCAGTGGTCTGTGAATGATGGCAAAGAGGTCCAGAATCAGCCGAGCGTCGAGCAATACCTATCGGTCTCCACGAGGATTCGAAGCCTCCATTAGCTCACCCGAGCATTTGGAGCCATGGTTTGTCATGACGTACCGGTCCCAGACCCACCATGGTCGTTGAGGAGGAATATGAGTCTTTTGGAATCGCTGCTGACAAACTAACTCTTTATTTTATCCGCCTGAGCTGACCGGGAGCAATTGAGCCGTGTATATAACGGGACAAGGATGCCTGGTAACGCAAAGGAAGGAACGGCTGGAAAGAAGACTCCCTCCACATGTGATCTCGAGACCGATCGGGATTAGCCTGGTCAGCAGCGACGGAGATACCAGTATACTCCCCGGAGTTAACTCGAACTGTATACAATTCCTTCATGGGGTTGGGTTTCTGATCCGGAATATATATCTCGCAACACATCTCGAAAGGAGCACTTTTCAGAACGGCACTCGACCCAGGTATGAAATTTCCCCCGTTTTGCTCTCAATGCTCTTGATTTCCTATTACCCATGAGATAGTTCGCTAAGCAGTTTCATAAACATCTTCATTGGCGTCGTGGGCTACGGGTCTCTAGTATGCCGGGAACATCAACGGAAGCTGATTTTGCTTTTTGAGAGCATGGGGCAATTCTTTTCTCATTACCTTTTGCAGTCTTAGTTGAGGACTTTCTAATATGGTCAATATACACCCATGTACATACAGCGTCTGGTGACATTTGGAGGTGTTTTTTGCCTCATCTACTGTACCTCCCCGCGGAGACAAGGATTGCCGTTTTGCAGTGTATGATTGACCCTCAGGTGTGTACAGTCTTTTCATCTTCATGATTTTGTTCTTCTTGCCCATTTCTGAAGTATTATAGATGAGCATAAGCAGCTTAGTACATCATTGGCACATTCGAGGAACCGTATGACCAAGTGTCACTCAAGTCTTTAGTATCTATCGAGCCTGTCTTGATACAGGGGATGTAGATCTAGATCTCGCCTGCGGGATCTGCGACCGGGCTCAAAACCTGTGGGAGGGGCTCCAGTTACTTCAAGTAAGAGGATTTTCCGTTAGATCTCGAAGCAAATGCTATCATCTCAAGTGATTGTAAACATGTTCGAAGAATTCCACATTGTTATTCAGAGCAACTAAGTGCGGTCGGTGCATTGAACGTCTAGGAATGATGGAGGAAGCGGTCTCGGTGACAACGCCGTTGGATAAATTCGCCATTCCTTCAATGGATGGCATCGACATGATGGAATTCAGAGGCCCGAACCCACTCCAAACAAGCATGTAAATGGGGAAAACTGGTTTGCGCAGCAAGCCAGCAACCGACTGTGGAGGCCAGCTTAATGCCGTGGCAGGCGGGCCTGCAAGCGTGCCTCCGCTACGACGCTAGACAGCCGGTGTCTGGGCATGTCGAGCAGCGATCAGCGCTGTGCGACAATCGGAACTACTACTCAGGAGGGTCGAGAACTTGATGCAGTGCCAGCTGGCAGCAGAATGCCAGAAATACCTCATCTGACTACTGTATATTCCTATTCCTAGGATGGCCCGGTCCCCGGACATATCACAGGACTTCCAACGGATGCGTTCAACGACCCCACCGACAGACCCCTCCGAGCAACGCTATTAGATAAGAAGAATGCAATTGATGCTTCACCATTCATGGCATTGCTATCAACTTATCTCTTTTCGTACTTCCAAGATCAGCTGGACGTCAAAAGAGGCATCTAGACCGTGGAAAAGAAAGAGACGGAAATGGGTAGAAGGGGAACAGCAACAAAGCCACGGCTACGGAGATAGATTCCCCGCCAATTTCCCCGAAGTTGGAATGAAGCACGAAAGAAATACGGAGGCAGATGGGTCAATGTTTTCGCAACGACGAGCACCAGGAGCCAGCACCCGAACCAGGAACACCACGCCCGGATTGTGCCAGGATGGGACGGGGAGGAAACCTGATGGATAGACCAGACATTGTCAACAACAATAGTTGCCAGAGAGCAGGATATAGATGATGTTATATTGATATCGGTCAACCGTTGCTGTCTGGTTCATCCGGATTTCCCTCCAGCTCGGGGCCATGGAAGCCGGCTGGCGATGATGTCATGTGACGGGCCGCGGGGATTCCCGGGACGGACGGTGCACGACGAGCCGGCGGCCTAAGGAGTCAGGCCAAAGCATCGTCGTCGTCATGGAGGACTGAAGACTGTACGGAGTAGACCTGGATTCCCTCGGCCACCGGCAAGTCAATTCCTATTAATTCTAGCTGGCTGCCCATTTTTGCTCCCTTTTTTTTTTTCCTTTCTCCTTCTCTCTCTCTTCCCACAATATCGTCATCGTCATCGTTCACCCCCCAACCGGTCACTGAAATCATACTGATCGCATCCGTCCCCACTACCCGGTGAGTTCTTTCGAGTGCTGCTGCCCCTCCATTAGCGGCTCGCTGCCCCTCCTCTGCTGCCCCTTCTAAATACCTGGCTCCGTATTCGTCGTCCGGTAAACCATTTAGCTGGAACTCTGCTGCAGAATTTATTAATTGCTCTTCTCCCTCTTCTCTTTCCTCTTTCTTCATCATATCTCTCTACTTCTCCTTACCCTCAAGCTAATTCCTCCGTCTCTCCTAAGACTTCTACCTACTATCTATCACAATGGGTGTCCTCGAACAGCTCTCTCGCAAGTCCGGTGTCATCGTCGGTGACGACGTGCTCCGTCTCTTCGAATATGCCCAGAAGAACAAGTTCGCCATCCCCGCTATCGTAAGTCAACCGCTCACCCGAGAATTCTGCTCTTAGCTCCTTAGCTCCATACCCTTCCCTCGAATCCGAAGAAGCTCTGAACTAACTTATTCTGCAGAACGTGACCTCCTCGTCCACTGTCATCGCTTCTCTCGAGGCTGCTCGTGACAAGAACTGCCCCATCATCCTCCAGCTCTCTCAGGGTGGTGCCGCTTACTTCGCCGGAAAGGTACGTTGAACATCTTGTGAAGCTATTGCATCTAGGACACCGTGTTAACCTCATTGCTCTTACAGGGTGTCAGCAACGACGGCCAGGCCGCTTCCATTGCCGGTGGTATTGCCGGTGCTCACTTCATCCGTAGCGTTGCCCCCGCCTACGGCATCCCCGTCGTTCTTCACACCGACCACTGCGCCAAGAAGCTCCTCCCCTGGTTGGACGGTCTCCTCGACGAGGATGAGCGCTACTTCAAGCTCCACGGCGAGCCCCTCTACTCCTCCCACATGATCGATCTGTCTGAGGAGCCCGTCGACTACAACATCAACACCACCGCCGCTTACCTCAAGCGTGCCGCTCCCATGAAGCAGTGGCTCGAGATGGTAAGCTTTCCCATTGTGTATGAGTGAAGATCGTGGAGATAGCTAACGCCTAATATAGGAAATCGGAATCACCGGTGGTGAGGAGGACGGTGTCAACAACGAGGACGTTGACAACAACTCCCTCTACACCCAGCCCGAGGACATCCTCGCCATCCACAACGCTCTCTCCGCCATCAGCCCCTACTTCTCCATTGCCGCTGGTTTCGGTAATGTGCACGGTGTCTACAAGCCCGGCAACGTCCGCCTGCACCCCGAGCTCCTCTCCAAGCACCAGGCCTACGTCCAGGAGAAGACCGGCTCCCCCAAGGACAAGCCCGTCTTCTTCGTCTTCCACGGTGGCTCCGGTTCCTCCAAGGCCGAGTACAAGGAGGCCATCAGCTACGGTGTTGTCAAGGTCAACGTCGACACCGATATGCAGTACGCCTACCTGACCGGTATCCGTGACTACGTCCTCAACAAGAAGGACTACCTCATGAGCACCGTCGGCAACCCCGAGGGTGAGGACAAGCCCAACAAGAAGTTCTTCGACCCCCGCGTCTGGGTTCGCGAGGGTGAGAAGACCATGAGCAAGCGTGTCCAGGAGGCCCTGGAGGACTTCAACACTGCTGGCCAGCTGTAAATGTCTTTCCAAAAATAGTTTCTTTTTCCTTTTACGTTCGATTTGACGTCTGCCGATATGACAAATTCAGATACCAGTACATAAATTGATAAATTCGAAGGACACCAAAACAAAAAAATTGATGGTCATATGTAAAACTTTGGATACTGGGGTCGGAGTTGAAAGTTGGTGGTTGATTTGACGATGATGACGATGTATGTAGTATGGAGACGAATTTACACTAATGAGCTCTTTCTTGTCCTAAACGGTTCAAATCCCAACATGCACAACCACCGCTGTTTCAAATGCTTCACCGTATGTCTGATTGTCCGAGTAACCGTCGGGTGTCGAGGGAAGGAGGGGCTGCCCCTCCTTGGGATCCACCACCCACTGGCTGCCTCAGGCAAGCATCGGTGGCCCCCCGAGCCGCCACATCGTGGCGATCATCGTGGCAGTGCATGGTGTGGTGGTGTGGCTAGTGAATTGAGGCGGTGCTACCAACTTTTGGTCTGATGATTTTGTCGGTTGTTAATCAGCAGAATTGCTGTATTGAGTAGTGTGGACGGAGTATGGGGCTGGGAACTAAATTGTCCTTCCTTTACTTGATCAGAGTATGACGGTATGACCTGTGTTATTTTCCGATTCAAATTGCGTTACCCACCCTCGACAAGAACAGGTGGTCCTGTTCATTTCGGCTCTGGGTAGAATGCATACGGAGTATACCGTGCCCAGTAGATAGTAGATACGGATACGTAGCAAGAAACTACTGTAGAGAGCCAGGAGCAATGAGTCTTGACACTCCACTGATCCATCCATTGCTCGTACACACGACTCCGTACACAGTAGAGCGAGTCTCTACTCCATACCTAGTCATACTCCATCACAACCTCACGGTTCCTCACATAAGAAGTAAATACCCCGTCCGGGGCGCTTAAAGCCAAGACATCCTAAGAGCCCCTCGTCCGATCTACTGCCCCGTCGGCAATTTCCCTGGTTAAATGTTCACTAACTAATACCTATGATGTGTTCAGGGTCCTCCGGGGACAGAAAATTTCCCGGGAGCGGCGGACAACGTAGAGCTTGAGTGAGCTATTTAAAGATTGTTGCGGCTAGCGTTGGACACTATTTCATGGCCATCGCGGCACTAACGGGTTGGAGTTGCTGGGGATGTCTGACTATTGGGGATCTAGTTATGGCACGGACGACCAACGTTGGGTGGTTACTGTGTGGACGGAGGACTCCGGTGGTTGGGGGTGTTGACTGGAGGAGAATTCTATGTACTGAGGAGAGTCCTACCAGATATTACCTAGGTAAGGAAATAGTTGGGAGGATGGTAGAGAAGACACTAACAGTCGAGTGTCAGATTCTTAATCGCGTGGGCAGAAAATGACAATGGCTGCCTGAGGATGCCGTCGACACCTGACGCGATAGGACCCCTGGGCCAATCAGGCCGAGATCCACCCGCCCGTGTCTCAGAAGGTTCCAGACCGTGACAGACGCGGATTGGTTGGCCAAAATAGTAGCCGGATTGTGTCCAATGAAGGACACTCGCGTGGGCCCCAACTGTTTCTTGTGGTTGCTCAAGTTTTTGCAGTCCCTTTGTTGACCTTGACAGTCCCTCTTCAGTGTAGTCGGAGTCTGTTGGAGGGTAATGGTATACAACACCTCGTGCGGTCTTCAATAGTAGTAAACCCCCCTTCCAGAGATCTCGTCCGTAGTGCCCGAGGACCAGGATCCAAAAAGGTCCCCACTGACCACGAATCACCCAGACTCCCACGTCTTGCGATTGCGAATCTCTCCAAATCCTGAGGTTGGAATGCGGTACTGGTAGATATGATAATGTTCCAGACCCGCCTCCACCGCGCTCCACCGGCGCTAACTGCCTCAGCGCCTCTTCTCTTGCTCTCTTTTGTCCTGTTCTTCCTGTCGTTTCTCCAGTCCCGCATCGTCATTACTGTCTTTTCTCCGCGGTCTGTTCATTTTTTTTTCTTTTTTCTTTTCTGTTCTTTTCTTCTTCTTCGCTTGTTCTGTTCATTCGTCGTTCTTGTCCATTCATAAACCCTTTTTCCTGGCGAGAAACTTCTTCGTCCTCAACGCACTTCCACCTCCAATTCGCCCCCTAACGGGTCCCATCCATGCCGTCTCGACTCTCTGGTCATGGATTCTAATCCTCTCGAACGCCGTGAGGGCGGTGCGGATCAATTCCTCGACCTCATTCAGGATCCGTTCAAATCGGCTGTATGTTTACCTTTTCCTTTGTTGACTCGTGGACGCAACGCGATTACCTCCCCGATTCTGTTTCCATCTCTTGCGACGCTAACTAACCCGATCCCCAGTTTCAAGTGAAAGCCGTCTGGGCCTCCTTGGCTACCTCCGCGGGTCTCGCCATCATCCTCGCCTTGCTCTTCTCGCTCTTTCGCCCGCGACACTCGGTGGTCTATGCCCCCAAAGTCAAGCATGCCGACCGCAAACACACTCCGCCTCCCGTGGGGAAGGGTCTTTTCGCCTGGGTGAAACCGGTCTTGAAAACCAGAGAGCAGGAGTTGATTGACATTGTCGGTCTCGATGCCGCCATCTTCCTGCGCTTCACCAAGATGTGCCGGAACATTTTCATCCTGCTCAGCATCATCGGCTGCGGCATCATGATTCCCGTCAATATCACCCAGAGTGACAGCAACGGCAATGACCTCACCGTCTTCTCCACCATGACCCCGTTGAATGTCAAAGCGAATGCCATTTGGAGTCAAGTCGTTTGCGCCTGGACGTTCGATATCATCATCGCCTACTTTCTCTGGAGTAACTACAAGGCAGTCCGAGCACTCCGCAGGGCGTATTTCGAAAGCTCGGAGTACCAGCGCAGTCTGCACGCCCGGACTCTGATGGTATGTCGTGCATCCTTGGTCAACCCCAGCTTTCCCCCGGTAACTCACCGATTGAATGTCTAGATCACCGATGTTCCTCCCTCGGCCCGATCCGACGAGGGTGTGATGCGCCTGGTCGACGAAGTCAACCCTACCGCCGCCGTACCCCGAGCTTCTGTTGGCCGTAATGTCAAGGGTCTCCCTGCTTTGATCAAGGAACACGAAGAAGCGGTGCGGGAGCTCGAGTCGGTATTGGCCAAATACTTCAAAAACCCCGACAAATTGCCCGTCAATCGCCCGACTATGCGGCCCCCGCGCAAATACAGAGGCGACGGCGTCAAAGGCAAAGTGGATGCCATCGACTTCTTGACCGACCAAATTCAACGGCTAGAGGAAGAAATTCGGCACGTGCGCGGGTCCATTGACAAGCGTAATGCCCTCTCCTTCGGCTTCGTCAGCTGGGAAATGATCGAGCATGCGCATGCGGTGGCCTACACTGCGCGCAACAAGCATTCTCAAGGCACGACCATCCGTCTGGCTCCCCGACCGAGCGACCTGATCTGGGAAAACCTGCCGTTGTCGAAAGGGGCTCGCAAATGGAAGCGGTTCATGAACTGGATCTACTCGGCCATCTTGACGGTGATCTGGATCGTTCCCAACGCCCTCATCGCCGTCTTCTTGTCGAACCTGAACAACCTGGGTCTGGTCTGGCCGGCTTTTCAGACCTCGCTGAACGGCCATTCCGAGGTCTGGGCCGCTGTGCAAGGTATTCTGTCACCCGCCATCACCTCTCTCGTCTACATCCTTCTGCCCATTATCTTCCGTCGGATGGCCATTCTAGCCGGCGACGTGACGAAAACCTCGAGAGAACGGCACGTGCTGCACAACCTGTACGCCTTCTTTGTCTTCAACAACCTGGTCGTCTTCTCCCTCTTCTCGGCCGCATGGACTTTCGTCGCAACGCTCGTCAAGTCGAACAGTGGCGAGGATGCCTGGAACACCATCAAAGGCGGGGCGCTCTACGGGAAGGTGATGGGCGCCCTCTGTCAAGTCTCGCCGTTCTGGGTGACCTACCTCTTGCAGCGAAACCTCGGAGCGGCCATCGACCTCGTCCAGCTGGTGAACGTGTTCTGGGTCTGGTTCTCCAAGACCTTCCTGTCTCCCACGCCCCGACAGGCTATCGAGTGGACGGCGCCGCCACAGTTCCAATTCGCCAGCTACTACAACTACTTCTTGTACTATGCGACGGTCGCTCTCTGCTTCGCTACGTTGCAGCCCGTCGTTCTTCCGGTTACCGCGCTGTACTTTGGCATGGATGCGATCATGAAGAAATACATGCTGCTCTACGTATTCATAACAAAGAACGAATCCGGCGGACGTTTCTGGCGGGTCGTATTCAACCGATTTGTCTTTGCGACGATCCTCGCCAACGTGGTGATCGCCCTGGTGGCTAAGACGCGCGGCACCTGGAACATGGTCTTCTGCGTGATTCCACTTCCCTTCTTGATGATAGCCTTCAAGATCTACTGCATGAAGACCTTCGACAGCGACATCAAGTATTACAACCGGGCCAATCTCAGCGACGCCGAAGCTCTGGCGGTGGGCAAACCCAGCAAGAAGGCCGGCGACCGACTCAACTCGCGGTTCGGCCATCCCGCCCTCTACAAGCCCCTGATCACTCCCATGGTGCATGCGAGAGCAGCCGATGCGCTGAGTCGCATCTACCGGGGTCGTTTGGGCTCAGTGGGTCCGGAGGGCGAGTACTCAGATATCGCCATGAATCCCATGTCCACGTCGCACCCGGGCAAGAAGATGGACGCTCCCCCGAACGCCCCCTTCGAGGTTGTTCCGGAAAACCACCTCGACTTCTCCTACTACAAGGACCGAGCCGACTTCCGCGACGAATTTGGCGGCGGCATCTACGGGCGCCCCGACGACCTCATTACCGAACGCTCTCACACTCCGCGCAGCCATCTGGGCGGCGAGTGGTCGCCCACCTCCTCGCGCGCATCTTCTCCGACGCCGTCGCTCCCGTCTATCCGGCCGTACGATCTAAATGGTAACGACCAGATTCACCCGGCGTTCCGCACGCCCTTGAACCGGATGGACAGCGGCCCGGTGGGCCAAGGGCTCTACCAGCATGAAGACGATAGTCATGCCGGGCTCCTCAGCCAGGCTCAAGGGCCAGCGATCAGCGAGACGACGACGCCGCTGGGTCGATGGCGAACCGGAGGATACGGGCCTGTGGATCAGGACGAACCCAATCCCACCTCATATGAGCATTTTCGTGCGCCACGATAGATTTTGAATGATGACCTTTTCTTTTTGTATTTTGTTGGGGACTGTGGACTTTTGGTTTATCTTGTTTATTTTTGTTTGATTGTTGATTGTATAGAGCGTGGGTCATGACGATTGTATTTTGGGACTACCTCGGAGTCAACAGGACATATGGTGCTGTACACAAGCATATCTGGACATTTGCTGTATTGTATTGCGCAGGAATTGGGTTGTACATAATATATAGAATTCTCTCCATTAAAATTTCTTGACATTGACACCAATTAGTGAAGATGAATGCCCTACGTGAATGTGGGCGGAAGTCCACGTTTTCTCCGGTCCGCCCTGATTCCCCCCTTTCGTTTCCACTTTATTTCCAGGGGTTGTCAACACTCCAACAACTACCTTTCTTTTGCTCCCCTTCACCTCCGTCAAGTCGGTTAGGTCAATTCCTACCTTAGAAGAGCTCCCTTAATCTCAAATCTTCCCAAATACTTCTCTCCGCCGACTTCTCACCAAAATACCTCGGCTCCCGCCCGGGCCGCATTTCCGAGGCCAACCGCTCCGACCAGCAATCAACACATCAACACATCAATAATCCCCGACCAGTGTGCGCAGGAGACGAACGGCGTTCGGCCCGGATCCTAAACCCAGTACCGTCGAATCACACGTATGCGGTCTGCTGAGCGCTAGGAACAACCGACTAGTGCCCAGCCTTCTGCCTAGCGACCTCGCGACGTGGTGCTCTGCCCGGATGTTTGCTCGTCTGGGAAACAGAAACAGACCATCGGACCCTTAAGACAACAGCAACGACACTATTGGTAGCAGCACGATTTATACCAAATATACTATATAGGAGAATGGCGTGGTATTCTATCCTCCCACAAGACTTGATCTACGTCGAGAGCTGGGCTGCTCGGTTCTTCGTAAGTTTGTTCATCCGCTCTGGCTGCCCCTCGTCGACATTGCAAGCAGACCGGGGTCAGTATGGACTTCTTGCTAACCTGCAACTCTACGATAGGTCATCCTCGGTATAATCACCATCTTCCCCTGGGCAGTACTTCTCATATTCGACGTGAGCCTGTATCTGTGGCGGACGTTGGGGTATGAACTCCCCGTGGTTGGAGGTCGCGCGAGAGGAATGCAACGACCGCGCGCGCCTAGCTTGAACGAGAGACCGGACGGGCAACGAAGAGCTTTCGGGCTAGCGGGTTATGAGGATATCAGTACGGCGACGAAGCTGGATGCTTCAAAGGCAGAGGGGTCGGTGAAACGGAGGACGCCGACCGATTCTAAGATGGAGGGTTAAGCAGTTTTGCTCTGCTTTATACTGTGTTCCGGTGTTTGGGTACTAGGTATTGGACAGTTCAGCCACCGAACCAAACTGAACTAAGAAGCTGATTGGGGAAACGAGCGTGGTCTATCTATGCTCTGGTGAGCAATGCGATATCCTTTTCTCTCCTCAGCTGCTGGATTCGGTTTAGTGGCTGAGCAGCGGGGAGGGTCGGTCTGCCAGCCAGAATCCTTCATGTCTCTCCCTTGTCTTGTCCTGCATGCAGATCGCTCGAGGTTCAGGTCCGCTCGGTGCTTGGTGCAATCGGCGGTGGGCGGCCTTGCCGGCAAATCATAACAGGCACTGATATTTAAGATCCGCGGTTGCTGGTCCGAAGGTTTGGGGTTGACTTTCCTCTATCAACATCCCCACTTGAACAGCATCGAGGCACGGCCACAATGCAGCTGGACAGCCTGGACGACTGGATTCTCTACGCCGAGAGGAATCCTTTGGTTGTCCTCTTCTTGGTCGTAGCAATCTGGCTGTTCAGTCTATGGAACCGAGTACGATGCACCCCTCTGCCAAATGGTCAAGATAAGACTAACCAACCAACCCACGCAGAGGCAGCTCGATATCCACGGCCATGATTTCTCGTCAGGATCAACGGGCTATCCGCCCATTGAACCGCTGCCCGATTTCAACTGGGAAACCGCCGAACCGCTATGCTTCCGGCCCTTCAAGCCCAAATACCATCTGACAATGGGCAAGTTGGTCGTTGCGACTCCACCAAGGAGCTTTTGCATTCTAACACCATGACAACGCAGCGCTGTCCTCTCTCGACCCTTCTGCCCTCATCCCTATGGATAAGACATATAAGGACCGACTGGCTCTTCGCGCTGATCTGCTGCGCCAATACCCCGACGTCGTCATCGCCATCAACGACCCCGAGGATCCTCACGTCCTCGCCGCGATCAATGAACTCTACACGTTCGTCGTGGGCTCTTACCTTCCCACCCGATACCCTCGGATGTTCCAAGTGATCCGGACCGCGGAAAAACGCACCGTCCTGCAAAGCCTCGTTACCGGCCATGAGGCACCACTGAACTGGACCGCAACCCCCCAAAACGGCCGCCAACAGCTCGAAATCCTCGGCTCCCTCGTAGACGAGGATTTTCTCATCCTCCTACCGGAATCCTCTCCCTCTTCGTCCAGCCAGGACCCGGACCCAACTCCAACACCCACCGACCCAGAAGAAAAAGAAAAAGGTGAAGATGAACCAGAACCCAAATACGTCCTCCGCGCCTACACCGCCTATTTCCCATCGGGCTTCAACCCAGCTGAGAAGATCGGTCTGAGGCTGACGAACATCCACGCCCCGGTGCCAGGGTACAAGGAGAAGCTGGAACGCAGTATGGACCGGTTCTTTACGCGTATTGAAGTCGGGAAGTTCGTACAACGGGTCAATTGGAGCGTTCTGACAAAGACGGAATTGTTTGCGGCATTCGGGGGTGTCCATGGTACTGAGGGTGAGGGTAGGGGTGAGAATGAGGTGATCGAGGACGGGGGGTTGGATGTTGATTCGGTGGGTGTCCCCTCCTCTTTTCTTTCTCACATCATTTCGGTTGCTCGATGGACTCTGAACTCAGACTCAGACTATATATGATGGGTTCTGAAACTCGAACTAACCAAGTTAAATGATGATATAGACCGTCCTCCGCTGTGAACGCCAAACACTTCATCGCCTCCCTCACACCAAAGCCCTCGTCTTTGCTTTCCACACATACACGTATCCGATCCAATCCGTCAAGGATGAAGGACTCGGCGAGGATATGGCCGTCGCGATTGACGGTCTCAAGGAGGGGAATGTCCCTGAGATGCATTGGTATAAGAGAGCGCCGGTTTGGGGCGATGCGGTGAAGAGATTCTTACGGTCTTAGATTTTGGTGTTCCTAAATCTAATGTCATGCTTTTTGTTCGGTTCGGTTCATGTTCAGATTCAACTACGTTCATTCATCTTCATCGTCTATGCCATTTTTTATTTTTATTTTTTCTAACTCATAGTTCCAACCCTAGACTAAGAGAAAGAAAGTCTAACGCAATCGCTGAACCACCTTAATCAGATCAGCAGAAACACCCATAGCAGTGACATCACCACCGGCACCGGCACCCTGCACAATCAAGGGGTTTCCACCGTAACGCTTCGTATAGAAGTTAATGATGTTATCGCTGCCCTTGAGACCCGCGATGGCGCTATCGCGATCGAACTGCTGCAGACCCACGCGGACCTCCTTCTTGCCGACATCCACGCTTCCCACGTACCGCACCACCTTGCCCGCCTTCTCGGCGTTCTCCTTGATCGCCGCCATCTGGGCATCGAACTCCGGCAGACGCGTCATGAACTGCGTGATGCCGTCCGCCGTGGAAGGCAGGGAGGCCAGCTCATCAGGGATGAGCGACTCGATGGGGAACGAGTCCGGCGCCTGGACGTCCAGACCCGCGATCCGTGCCAGGATCGTCAGCTTCCGCGCCACGTCCATGCCGTTCAGGTCGTCGCGGGGATCGGGCTCCGTGTAGCCGAGCTCTTTAGCCTGGGCGACCACGTCGCTCCATTTCGCGGACGAGGAGGAGCCGCTGGGCGCGAAGGTGTTGAACAGGAAGGAGAGCGTGCCCGAGAAGACACCCTCGATGCGGGTGACCTCATCGCCGGTGGCGACGAGGTCGCGCAAGGACGAGATGACGGGGAGGCCGGCGCCGACGGTGGATTCGTGGTAGACGAGGGCGTTACCCTGGGCGGCGGAGGCGAATATGTCTTTCCAGAGGGCGAGGTCGGACGAGAAGCCCTTCTTGTTTGGGGTGACGATGGAGATACCGCGGCGGAGGAAGGTCGGGTAGGAGGCGGCGAGGGCGGGGTCGCTGGTGTTGTCGACGAGGATGGACCGGCCAGGCGCGGCGGAGAGGTAGGCGGCGATTTCGTCGGCGGAGAGCGCGCCCGATTTGGTGAGCGAGGGGGTCGAGACGGCGGCTTGCCAGTCCGACGTGGCGGGGATAGAGGGCGAGTAGGCCGGTGTCGGCGAGAGGAGGGTCTGCGTGGAACGCGCGAGGAGGACGAGTTGGGGGGCGTTGGGGAGACGGGCGAGTTGGTTCAGGAAGGCAGAGCCGACGCCGCCGACGCCTGGATGGAAGGATGGGGTTAGTATAGTGTTGTAGGTTTGATTGAGTTGAATTGATGCGTCGAGTCATAGCCATCCTGAACTTATACTGAGTGGAGTTGAGAAAGACATACCAATGACACCGAGGTAGATAGGGCTGGCCATGATGATTGAAGGATGAAAACTAAAGACTGTAATTGATTAGATCCGCAAGGCCACAAAAATCAATCAGAATCCCTGACTAACCTTCGAATTGAAACGGGGAGAGAAGATGAAGATGGAGAGCAGAAGACGAGCCAACTGAAATGGATGGAGGGGTTCCGTCGCGGGGGTCCTCTGCTGAGTCATTATTCCCCCGAAAGCGGTGACCGCCTTGCTCCGATTGCGTCTTCGTTCTCGCTCATGCGAGCCTCGATATCAAAACATCAACCCAATCAGCAATCCACTCTCCCTTAATATCATAATGTCCGACTCCCTCTACGGAATCCCGCGTCCCAAAACAAGTTCAACCTCGAAATCCTCCGCCCCCTCAGCCTCCAACCTCGCTTTCACCACCACCCTCTCCTCGCTCATCTCCCAAGACTCAAAAGACGCATCCACCACCTCGTCATCAACACGCAGCGGACGCCCCCGACCGTCGAAATCAAACAAATCAGACATCTTCGCGCGACACAACAAAGGCGCCCAAAAACGTGCCGCCGCTGATCTCCGCGACGACGAGAATGGCGTGTTCCAGACACACCAGCGCACGGAGGACATTGGTGGCGCGGACACCGCAGCGCTACATCGTTCAAAGCGGCGCATGCAGGAGAAGGCAAGGGTGTATGAAGAGTTGAAGGGCGGGGCGTATTTGGCGGCGGATAGTGATGATGAGGAGGATGGTTACGGACGAGGAGGAGAGACGGGCAGTACAGATCAATATTTCGCTCGATTGCGACGGAAAGAGCGCGAGGGGCTGGTGGATTTTGATCGGAAATGGGCAGACGCGGAGCGCGAGAAGGGATCCGGATCGGAAGAGGAAAGCGATGCGGAGGATGATGACAACGCCTCCGTCGTGTCCTATGAAGATGAGCTGGGTCGGACACGTCGCGGGACCAGGGCCGAAGCGGCGCGGGCGGCGCGAGCAAAGGCGGATGAAGAGTCGGGCCAGCGGTCGAATATGCAGGAGCGTTGGCGTCCGTCGCGCCCGGAGAACTTGATCTACGGGGAGACAGTGCAGGCGGAGGCGTTCAATCCGTCGGCCACGGCTGCGTCGCAGATGTCATATCTGGCTACGCGAAGGGATCGGTCGCCTACGCCGCCGGGAGAAACGCATTACGATGCTGACGCCGAGGTCCGCAACCGGGGAACTGGGTTCTATGCGTTCTCGAAAGACGAGACGGTGCGACGGCAGCAAATGGAAGAGCTCGTTAGCGCGCGTGATGAAACTCAGAGGGCGCGGGAAGCTCGGCAGAAGAGGAAGGCCGAGAGGGAGCAGGTCAAAGACGAACGAAGAAAGGCAATCGGCGAACTGCGGTCGAAGAGGCGTGCGGAGATGTTCTTGGCTGGGTTAGGCGACGTGGGAGATTGGACTGGATCCGCCCCGGTGGAAACAGATGCCTAATGATCTGTATACTGTTGCATTTGATATTTATGATACCCCCCTAGATTAATGAATTGATCCTTGTTTCTGAACTTATAAGACATAGACATTGTTGACGCGCAAGAGAGCAATGAAAAGGGTATAAAAGTTCACATCGATGGACCATATAGAATCAATCGCTGCCCACCCAGTTAAAGAGTTCCTAAATACAAAAAATAGAAAAGTCAGGCACAAGATCAAGTGAGAAAGCAATGGTACCGAGTCATCAGCGTCAACGTCGATTCATCATATCGTATGGCCATAGCTCGTGAGTCGTTATGGTTATATACTATCCAATATTAGAGTGCGGTTCTGTATACCAGCATCATAAAGCGTCCTGTTTTTGTGTTCTTTTTTTCTTTCTTTCAGTTTTGTGAGAAAACGATCGGTTGTGAAATTGACAATACTTGAAACCTCATCTGTCAAAGCGGTTGCAAGGTCAACTTTTTCATGAGTGTGCAAGTTCCGTCATGGTTTCCATGAACCCCTGGGCGTCTAATCCTCTCGTTAGTCAACTTCCACGTGTATAACTGATGTTGAGCATGTCCAAACTTACCAGCTTTATTTGTGAATTTTAAAATGTGCTCCCCTTTAGATGTTCGAGGGGCATTATAATCGGAAATTGTAAGAACGGTGGGGTGAAGTTCACGCAATACCACAACTTTGCTGTCCATCCGCCGAATCCAACCTCGACTGCGGATGTTGTGCGTGATAAAGGCAGTCCATACTGGCGCTCTGAATAAATATAATAGTTAGCCAGAAGATCATGACCCACCACATGGCTGTTTCTTACCGTTTCATTTCCCCCTTATGTACGGACGCCTGGAGTCTGACGGCCCCAGAAATGTTGTCCCGGTAGACGCGCAGGGCATGGAGAAAATTATCATCGACGATTTGCCTAGCACATGTATTAGCATAATGGATTTTCTCTCTGCTGGTTACGTGGCTCTCTTACCCTCCAAACAACTCCTCTTCGTCGTCTAACTCGTAGTCACGAATGCGTTCCACGGTTTTGTGGCAATCCTGAGCGCGAAGGGCCAAGAAGGTGCAAAAGAAAAGCACCATATCTACTCAATCCATCAGCAATGTCCCTAAAGTAAGCAGAGCACTGTACATACGTTCAATAGTGCTGAACTTGAGGTTGGCCCACAACTCAAGGTCATACTTTCCACGGCGGCGCCGGCACAGCTGCAAACAAGAGCCAACCCGAAAGACCTCCAGCATATTCAAGGGAAGACAGGAATATTCATTCGACCTCGAACCCCGTGGAGTCTTGCACATAATGCGCGCTCGATGGTCCTCTTCACGTTGGTAGAAGTAGACGTGAAGCTCGGAGTCCCCATTGAAAGCCCTGTAGGATGTCAGCCCGGTTCATGCAAAGTGAAATCTCCACGACGAACATACAGTTGAACTAGTTCTTCAAATCCTTCCTCGTGCAGCCATCGCCTAGCTCCAGGCTTTATATCCCCCAGACATTTAGAGCTAGGGTTATATCAGCACCCGGTCTTATAGAGATCGTGTTGTCAAAAGTTTCCTCACCTTTCGCCTACGTATGGGATAGTAGTCTTTGGATGGTCATCTAGAAACACCCTTCGGGCCCAATGATCGCTAGGGAAAGTGGAACCGAAAGAGTTGCTTGTGACTGAGCTTGTGAGAGGGGAGCCCGGTATATCGGGAACGGATGGAGGAATGTCCGAGGAGGTCCCTGATGATGGAGAGAGAGGCGTTTGTGGAGACGACCGAGAAGGTCTCTGCCGTTCATATGACCTTCGGTTGCGAGGTTTGCGATCGCTGACAGGGCTACCCGGATCGGCACTGTTGCTGCTCACAGTGGACGGCGTGCTCAGCGAGATGGAGCCCAGCTGGGGTATAAGGCGATTGCTCTGTTGTATATATAGCGCTTTGATGTTGCTGCGGAGATTGGACATAAGAATTACATCGGGATGTTTGCTAGATCCAGCCGGTAAGGTTAATGCTACTCCTGATGCGGACGGGGAAAAAGCAAAGATTCAAGACGACCTACTCTTTCATAAAATCATCCAATTCATTCAGGAAGGTCTTATACTTGGCCAAGCGCGTGGACAAAGAATCTTGCGATTCTTCCCGGAAGTAAGTGCATAGATGCAACCATGTACGCTTGTAGGTATCTCGACTAGAAGCCGGTCGCTCTTCTAGATCCCCAAAGAAGTCGACGATGTCCTCCAGTGTGTACTTTAAACTAGTACGGACTAGTTCAAAGTCGGCATGGGCAGCGGCATAGTTGTGACGATAGGATCGGTGTTTCGTCAGGTCCTCCAGCTTCTTCAGAGACGTGCTAATGGAATATAGATCGGCAATAAGACCGGTGATTTCGGTAGAGTGTTCGGGCAGAGGATCGCGAAACATGGTGAAGCCCGCGGCCACGTCTTCGGCATTATCGGCAGAAGTGCGCAGGGCCATAGTGGATGAGCCTCTAGTGTTGACCATGCATATATAAAGATTTGGCCCTTGCCTTTAGACCGCAAAAGAAACAAATAGGAGGTTTTCGTAGGGCCGAACTCGTGGAGAGGGATGTGTAAAAAAGAAGACGGTGAAAGGCAGCCCGCCCACAAGATATACGCCGATCACAATCACAAGTGGGATGTTTAAATATAAAGGACGGAACTAAGATAGGGCAAACGTCTTTTAATGCGGCCAGGCCGGAGACACAAAAAAAAATAATAAATAAAAAAAAGCTTCACACAGTGGGACTACAAAGTAATCAGAAAATCGACCGGGGAGGGGGGCAGCCGAACGACAACTCAGTCACAAACGGACAATGAAAGGAGTCAGAAAGCGACGTTCTATCGGCAAAGACACCCCTCCGATGCATGTCGATTGGCGTCTTCCGGAAGAAGACCGCAAGTAGGACCCAAAAGGGATCCGCCAAAGCACAGGGTCCAGCAGAAGCAAAGTGGACGGTAGGAAAAATAGAGTCAATCTAGTAGTCAAGCAGGGAAGCATCAATCATCCGTCCAGGCAAGAATGCGGGCACAAGAATCCTTTGAAGTGGGGCAGGATCTCGTCAATGGACCGTGTCCGAGACCCTCAACCATGCAATGCTTACTTGCGGCTCTCAGACAGACAAATGGAGCACAATGGGGTGAAACCAGAAGGCCTCCGAGGGCTGGCTAACTGTCTTTGGGATTGGGAGCGTTGACGTGTTCATGCGGCTTTGGAGAGAAGAAGCCAATAATGGGCGGCGGAAGTGGATGGGCGGAATTGAGCGGTGATGGGAGAGATGAAGAGAAGAGAAGCGGGATGGTGTGCAACCCCGCGAGTCTGGTCATTCGTCCATGCTTTGGCATGTCATTGCAGAAATGGACTCGGATGATTGGGAAGCATTAAGTTATCATCGCCATTCTCATTAGAGCATGAGCATCCGTATCAAATTGGTTGCAGATGTGTGGGGACAACCGTCTGTACAACCGGAGTGAGCGAGGGATCATCAACGGAAGAAGTAAAGAAGTTGTACTACGAGGAGATGAAGCCTCAAGTCACGGGGATTCCGGTTGGTCACGAGACTCGACATGAAGGAGACTCGGAGTACAACGCATTGTTATGAGTTTCTGATTAAACTTCCTTCCCCTGGCATCTTCATCGACTGAGTTCAAAACAAACACTCCGAAGAACTCGATCGCTACCGAGGAGTACGGTGCTTACACTGTCTATTTGCAGTATAGCTCTCGATCCAGCCATGCAGCTTGGGACGCGTTCCCTTTCCTGGCAGTTTTTGCGAGCCCTAAATGAAACCGCCAGGTTCAAGCTAATTTCTCCTACTAGGTGCGAACCCGAAGACTTCATGATGGGGCAAGAGTATAAAAGAACCAGTCCAGCATCGTGTCCGGAGTACCGTCCCTGGTTTTGCGTGGCTAGTTTGACAACCGCCATGCAGATCTCCCCAAGTCATCTAGATTCAGTTCGAGTCATCCAGACATATGCACTTCAGTGGTCTGGCCGTGATCTTCGGGCAGACACGCAGTGGATGAATAAACAGGGGACGAGTTTTGCGCCAGATATCGAGTGTTGACGTGCAGAGATGGACGCTGTCGTCGCATGACAGGCTTCTCCACCTCAGGCGCGGTCCAACTTGTGTACCTGGTACGGAGGACTGGTGGTGATACTTGGTAGTGTCTCGTAGGAGAGAATACGGAATAGATAAAGCCGGCGCTTCCCTTATCTGCATTCTGACGGGCTGCACCGGAAGGAATCCTTCACGGCCTGAACAACTTGACGGCCAGCTGTTCTGGCCTCAGGCATCAATGCCGAGGTCGGAACCACGACGCGTCGGACACGTAAACAAGCAACCCCCGCGTCAGTCTTTCTCGGTCATGACGCCGCCAACACAAGGACTCTCGCCCACGCGGACAACGCCTATTCCCAAAGAAAGGTCCAACAACAGGAGCATGCGGCGCTGGCATCCACCATGAAGGGAAAAAAAAAAAAAAAAAATAACAGACAAGAAATGAAAGAAGGATGCGGTCAATTAGGCTAGTATACAACAAAGCTTGCGTTGCGTTACAACACTCTCTGCAGCTTCCATTCTTATTGCACCATAGATACTCGAAAACGAGGTAATCCCGTCGCTCGTAATCATCGGCGCCGGGCTCCTCGATTCGTCCCAAAAGCCGCCATGTCGTACAGTAAACATTTCCCATCGAAGATCCTTCATAAACAGAAAAAAGCAAGGAAATACCACCGTCATCCCATACCAGAAGCCATTGAGGAAAAAGGAAATATAAGAAGCGACGAAACACAGAGGCCAGTAATCAGCGAAAACAAACGACACAGAAACGCCAACCGGTCAAGCTAAACGAGACCTGCTAAGGGGAAGAGGTAAACATTTAGGATGATTCCTCGTCCGAAGCGGCGGCTCCGGCCTATCGCATTGTTAGCAGGGCTCTCCTTCAGGTTTCAGGACGCTGCTGTGGGGGAACTCACGGCGTAGCTGGCCTTCTCATCTTCATAACGCTTCTTGTCGGTAGCGGCCTTCTCCTCATAGGGACGACGGTCGGTGTCGTTCAGAGCCTTCCACTTCTCACCGAGCATCTTGCCAACCTGACCTGCAAAGCAGTTAGCATTGGCCGAGACGCAAATTTCGGGCGCAAGACTTACCGAAGGTGATGCCGGGGTTCTCCTCGCGAACCTTCTCACGGTTGTCGTTGGCGAAGAACATGTAGGCGGAAAGACCACGCTTGGGAGCGTTGGGGTCTGGAATCGTGGTCAGCGGTGCCTCAAAGGATGGCAATGGGGAGACACATACCCTTCTTCTTCCGCTCAACACGGGCCTTAGGCTTGCGGGTGGTCTTCTCCTTAGGCATATTGAGTGATTAAGTCTATTGATGCTTCGTTAGAGAGGATCGGATGAAACGCTTGAGTGAGGTGCAATGACAGAAGAACAGGTCCTAACAAAATGCAAGGTAACGACAAAATAAAATTCAATCAAAGGGAATCTGAGCGACGACGCGATGGTGTGCGCGCAATCGAGAGTGTGGGCGCTGCGCGGTGTTGCGCGCAGCCCAAACAAGAGTAGAGTGATCGCGGGCGCAGGTCAAACACGCAAAGGAAAAGCGCGCAAAAACAACTGCCTAGCAATTGACTTCGAAGACGACATGTCTCAGAATAAGAAATCGCAGGGAGTCAAATTTGCCAGTGGGAAGCAATAGGCGCGAACATGATGCTTGATCAGGGATGTATATAGTTGCCGGCGCAGATGCGCGACAGCAGGACGGTGCGGACGTGAAGAAAAACTTCAGGGAAATGACATTTTGACCAAGCAAATAAGATGGAAACAAGACGTTTTGAAGGGAAAAAGAAAAAAGAAATTGCGTGGTAGAAGCATTGCGAAGAAAGGGAGGTTGTGTTAGGGTACTCACCGACGCGGATATGCGTACTTTTTTGTATGGGGGAGAGAATTGTATGGGAGAAGGGAAGCGTAGTGAGAGAGTAGTAGTAGAGAGAGTGAGTGAGAGAGAGGGAGAGGGAGAGGGGAGAGTAGTAGTAGTAGGAGGGAGAGAGCGAGCGAGGGAGACGGGAAGGCGGGCCACCGTGACTGAAGGACTGAAGGGGGGTGAAGTGGGCAGCACAGCAAGGGAATTCCTGCTCACTGGCTGGTCGCTCGCTCTGGGAGGGGGGGAATCCAAATGACCGGTATCGTACCATACGTCTCGTACCCAGCTTGCCCAGCTAAGTCCGGTGCACACCTCAGGTACCCCAGGATGCCTCAGCGAGGGAATTTCTTTTTGAGAGCATTTAGTTCTCCGTCTACTACTATTTTTTTTTTCTTCGTTAAAATCGATCTTTCTTTCAAGTTCGACTAAAATTGACAACTTGTTCTTTTTTTTTTCTTTCTACCTCTACAGGTGGACTCCGTGGTTTTTATGGCGTACACCGTACTCGCTCGCAATGTCGTCAAACAGAGCTCTCTCTCTCTCTCTCTTCTGCGTGTGTGTGGGTGCGTTGCTGAGCAATCGACCTGGAGCTCCACTGTTGTCTGACTGTACTGTATATTACAATACCCTCCTCATACCTTGAGGGTTTCCGTGGAGGTGTAAGGTAGGCAGGTAATCTATGGTACGCCACTAAGAGTCAGTAGCAGTACCTAGGTAGCAACAGACTAGACGGGAAAGTGAGTCGGAGCATTTGTTGGTAACAGGTAAGTTACCTCTGCGCGTAGGATTTTCCGTAGGCGAAAGGCGGTGCTAGTACGGATCATACTACTGAGTGTACACCGTAGAAGCGAGCAGCGGGCGGTGTGCACCAAGCATCCCGGTGCGTACTGCTAAGAAGTAGCTGAGCCCTCTGCTCCGAGTCACATGACTGCCTCCGATCTGCGCAGCGCGATTTCCCAGATCAATCAGAAACGGTACATCCATTCATTATTGCATTCACACAGAGCCTACAGACGTTGGGAGGAAAACGCTACCAGCAAATCATTGCTCCCTTTATTCTAAGTTAGATGAACAAGAAGATTTCCCCCACATTACTATTCTTGAGGGGAAGCGAGATTTTTGTAGTCTCGACCCGCGGATCAAACGCGGGGGCCTCTTGCAGACGGAGATGCGATACCCTCCGAGAATTAGTAGTGACTGGAATGAGGAGATTTAATTCAGATTGAAAGCGAAAGCCTGCAATAAAGAGCCCTAGGTACATACCAGTATTGGAGGACATACTCAGTCGCAGAGCTACAATATGTCACCTACACCATATCGACTAAATGGAGGGGAAACTCGCCATTGCAGGACGCTCTGATTCCAGCTATTCATTGGGATAGAGAATAATAATTTTAGAATGAGAACCAACTGTCCGATTCAATGTGAAGTACGGAGTACACCGTATGCCACGCTCCGAACCTACTCTGTAGGTGTACTGCTTACGCCCGCACTCGGTCCTCCTTTCCAGTCAGGTGTGCGTGCCGATAGATACCCTGTTGTTTAACATAACTATGGCACGAGGCTTAGTGACCTAGCTATGCCCGCACTTGAGATGTTGTACGGAGTACTCCATACATGCTTCGTCTTGCTGTGGACAGACCCTGCAGGCTCGACACTAGGCCCTGATCAAATGAAATAGCATACGGCATACGCGGCTTCCCTTGCACCGGGGATAGGTATTTCTGTCCCTTGCCCGGCTGGGTAGTATTTGCCTAGTGGCATTCGTAGTCCAGATGACCAGTGGCTTGCTGCTTTAGAGCCGTTTGTCTGTGTACACTCTACAGTACATACTTACATGCCTGCCGGAGGGTCCTTGTGGCAGCAGAAGGCTGAAAGAGGACCAGCGTACTTCATGCTGTGTAAAATTTGAAAAAGAAGAAGAGACATACATATAACTAAGTGTCGAGATAATTGTTTTTCCCGAGTAACCATATTCGTCACCGCGATCCCTGGTGCTCGGATCGACTATTGTAATTGTCGGTTATTATTATTATTGATTGTCCAATGCTGCAGAGGCCGACTGGAAATGGAAATTAAATGCCACCGTAGACCGGGCTAAACAGCACCCGTCAAAGATACCGGCAAAATAACCGGGCATGTAAGCGCTCTGCCACTCCGTTAGTTAATGGTAACAATAATAGTAATAATAATAATAATACCAATAATGAGGGGGTCATGGAGTCCTCCTGGGCTGGTTCCAAGTGGAAACGCCGGCTCCCCTTGGACCTTTCCCAAAAATTGCCTCCCAAAATCCATCATGCTCGTTTGGCGCTGATGGTTCCCTGAATTTTAAATTCCTTCTTGCTATGGCGTATGTGACTTTTGGGCAATTAAATGGCGCCTTTATTATTTTTTACCTCTGTTTTTACAGGGTCATGTGGTATTGACTATTTAGAAAGAATAACTAATACATAAGGTATGTAATCCGTACTGAGTAACTTAGGTAGACAGTCCTGGAGCTCTTTCAGTTTCCGCACAGCATGACGAACGCCTTCCATCACCGGGGATACCATGATGTCACGTGGGTCCCCGTCCTTTCTTGCGGCTTCCATGTTGGTCATTGAATTCCATCGACGAGGAGGCAGTGTTTACATATGGATTTACCATGGATTTACACCTTACATAGTACGCAGGTACTTCGACTGTGGTAGTAAAGTTATTTCAAATTCCAGTCAATAGGGTATAGTCCCAATCCAACACCTGCCTTGTCTAGGTACCAGCATAATAAGCATCAAAAGACCCAGCAACATGCATATCAGTTCATCAAGTGCATCACTCATCAGATTCATCCAGAACAAGGGCCGTGAGGGCCTCGTCATCCGCCCAATTTATTCCACTTCCAACGACCATGGCGCTTGCTATATTTTTCATGATATCCCACTTGGCTTTGCTTTTCTTGTGATCTTCCTTTGCTTGGTCCAATTGCGATACCAGTTCCTCATCCTCGAGGCGTTCTTTCCATGATGCATCATCCTTGGTGAGTTCTAGTAGTTCACGTACAAGCTCCTGGTTCTTTTTATGAAGCTTTCGATTTTCAACCTCCACGGATGATAGGTTCTTCATCGTCGTATTGTGCGCCGAGTTGAGGTTCTCATGCGCTAGGGAAAGTGCATCCCGGCGGTTAATCAGGCGAAGAAGATCACTATGTTTCCTTAGGGATTGTCTTTAAAGATTTTGGCAATGTATGGGCCAACAGCGGGCAAACTCACTGTTCAGCTGGGGACGTCGCTTTCAGGTGAACAGCTTTGAGAGTAGGGTCAGTCATCAGGATGTTTGCGACAGCTTTCCTCCTGACCGTGTAAGTAGCTCTCGCCTCGAGAAGCTCGCGTTCAGCGATGGCCAGCTGCTCTTCGACATTGTCTCCAGAGAGCAACTGAGAGTCTGTCGCTATGTTAGTGTTTGATGTTACAAAGGCACCGAGTCCACTTGTAGAAATTGGTTTAAGGGTTACCTTGTTGAAGTAGCGCCTTTTCTAATTGTTGTTCCTGGATCTGGCGATGGAGCTGCAGGATCGACGCCTCTTTGTCGGAGAAAGACACGGTATCTCGAGAGTCATTGGCGGCAATTTCTACTAAGACGGCCTCACCCGGGTCAAGGTGAGGCAGAGAACGAGTCTTTGACGAAGCCATCGAGCTAGGCCCCGTGGCAGAGCGGAGAAACAAGCATCGTGTGATGGCGAGCGGATTTCTATTTTGGCTGGTGGCAGGCGGTGGAGAAGCCGCTCGATGAATGCTTCCGGGGCAGCGCGTCATTCACCCAACATGGTCTAGGCCGGGGAGCTCTCGGGGCCTCGGGGCCTGGGTGCCTTGCGTCTATTTCATATGCCTTCGGCTTCTCTTATCTTCCTCCTTTCCCACATTCTTCACTCAGATCTCTAGGTCCGCTCTGACCGGCTGGTGAGGAGGGGATGTCTTTGCACATCTATATCGCCCACTCGGGTGAGCATTTACTTGCCGACCCGGTGTCGTTTGCCTCGTACGTTGCGTTCCTCTACCTGCGTCTTCCGCCCTTGTGTGCCCGGGCCCTCTCCTGTGCTCTTAAACCTGCCCAAACCCTCCCTCGGCTCTCCGGTGCGTGAGTGGAAATACTGGCTAACCTTTGAATCCTTGACTCTTAGTCCGGATGCACTCCGGTCATGGATCGCTCGCAATACGTCAGTTCCATCTCAGAGGCAGATCTTGATGACTGCTGGAGGGAAAAACGTCAAGATCCAAACACTCGCCACAGAGGTATGGTCTTGCCGGGAGCTGGTCATGAGCTAGCTTAGTTCCCTCCCCTGTTAATCGCTTGCCTTCAGGACGAAATATTTGTATACGATCGGCGATACGTGAATGAACAGAACAGCGCCGAGCTGCCAGAGCTTCCTCCTCCGCAACCGTTCGACCTCGACAACCCGCCCGATATCCTCAAAGACCAGAACGACCTACAGTCATGGAGGAATCTTTATGAGGCTAGAAAGACATGGGCGTTAACTCTGCTAGAGCGGTGTGAATCGGTCGACAAGAACATTCAGGATTGCAATGAGCGGACCAACGTTATCCATCGTGCCGTTGGCGTAGCTCTAGAGAACCTGAAAACACACGTGGGAACACTGGAGCACCGCTTCCAGGAAGCACAGACCTGGGCGAATGACTTATTGAAGGAGCAACAAACGGCGCTCGACGGGTGGAAACGAGCCTTGGCGACTTTAGAGACCATTCCTGCCCGCAAGGACTTCCCATTTCTAGGTCGTCCGTCTACGCCGAAGAAAGAGAAAGAGACAGCGACTGGATCGCTACGTGAATATGTGGATGCGGAAGAAGTACAAAAAGCCGGGTCAGAAGCAGCGGTCGCATTTTCCCAATTCGCTCTTCGGGTTCAAGATGTCGAGAAAGCTGTGGGTGAGATTGCGTCAGATACACAACACCTGGTCGATGGGACTGCGTCCTCGGGTGTTGATGGCATGGAGGGTCTTTTACAAGAAGTTGAGACGATATCTAAGAAAATACAATCCGACTATGAGCATGTCTTGGCTCTGCCAAATAATCAAAAAACGCTGGCAAACGTTTCAAGACTTGCCTTGAGTCACACCAAAGATCTTCTGCCGGGGCTCCAAGATATCAGTGCTGAAGTCCAAGCTGCCCAGGAGGAAGCGGTCAGACGGTATAATGACGCGGTCAAGGCTACCCCTAGTCACATGCGACACATTTCCACTTTGGAATCTCGTCTGTCCGACGTGCAAACCCACATAAACAACCTCAACCTCCATAGTGATGCCTTTGACATCATATACTCCGTTTTCCATATGCCCATGGTCTATGGGTCCATTCTCATCGAGTCTGTGCGACGCCACGAATTCAGTGAGAAGATGAAAACCGACTCTCTCACTCTGGCGGAAGAAATGTCTGTTTTCCGTGATGAGGAGCAACGTCGAAGAAAGAAATGGGTCAAGAACATGGGCGAGTTCATTTCCATTTCCGACACGACGACGCCGGGTATTGAAGTAAACCTCCGAGGCCACGAGATTCAATGGCCCACGGTCAACAGGAAGGAAGTTGAATCATACATCAATGATCTTAAATCCAAACCGAGTATGGCCAGCATAGCTCAAGACCTGTCCCAGGACTTTAAAGATTTGGATACCCCTACCCGCCTACAGCGACGTAGGGCAAAGGCTTTCAAGCAGGGCAGCATCTTTGATTTGAGTCGCAGCTCTCTGTTAGTTCGTGGTGACGACATGGTCCGCAGTTTACGAGATGAGAAATCCAAGCTAGAAGATAAGCTCAAAGGCTCTGAGAGCCGTATTCGGAAGCTGGAGGATCTTTTGCATCGACAGAGTCATCTGGGCCGCCCGGCAAGCGGTAACTTCACTCTGGACTTTCCGAGCTCTCCAGCATCCCCTCATCCCGACCAGCTCTCGAGAAGGTCTTCTGTTTCATCAAGACGAATGTCTGCCAATCAATCCTCGGAAGAAAAGGCACTTGTGCAGCGCATTGTCCACCTCGAGACCGAACTCGCAACCGAGCGCGAGATGGTGCAAAAGCTCCAGAAAGAAGCCCACGCTGAGCGCCAATCGAACACCGATAAGATACAGGAGGCTCACTCAACGAAGAAGGACTTGATCGGTAATCTCGAGGCACGGCAGCGAGAGTTCGACGACGAACGGAGGTTTCTGGAAGGAGAAAAGAAGAAAATCAAGATCCGGGCCGAGGAGCTTGAGGAAGAGTTGGATCGGATCCTGGATTCGCGTGAACACGAAAAGCAAGATGCAGACGAGCGGATACACCATCTTGAAACTGAACTTCAAGATGCTCATAGCCGTGCAGAGAATGAGATTCGAAAGGCAGCCCTTCTTAGTGAGCAGATGCAAAGCTTCACGGAGAAAGAGGAGAGTCTCCAAGCACGCATTGATGACCTGGAACAGCAAGCAGCCGTCAGAGAAGAAAGGGACCAAGAGAATTATCATGCGCTGCAGACTACATTCATGAATCTATCTCCTGGAGGGGTTGTTCCTGACCAACTCCCTGGTATTATCAAGACTATAGAGGTGCTTTCAGAGGGGCTGGCTATTCATGCTAAGAATGCCGAAGAGAATGCCACGAAAGCAAATTCGGAAAGTAAGGAACTTGAGGAACGTTTGGGCCAAATGGAATCCGAGGCTCATGAGTTGAGGACGAGTGCCGAGACGCATGAGACCGAGATCTCGAGGGTTGGCGAACAACTTGCACAAAAAGAATCGGAGCTAGCTGCTCTTACATCCGAGCTAAATAATGAGCGTGCAAAGCTGAAGGCACTGCAGTCACAATTTGACGCAGGTGAGACGGGCTCCGATGCCCTTCGCGAAAGGGCAGTGGAAGACGAGCGCAAATTAGCAAGACTGTCACAAAAGGTGGCCGAGTTGGAGACCCAGACGCGTCAATCGGATGGCGAAGTCCTGGAATGGAAACGGAAATTTGAAGCGCTTTCCGAGTCCGAACAACAGGCTACAGCCCGGGCGGAAGTGTCTGGATTACGGTCTAAAGATCTCTCGAAGCAGCTGTTCGACCAAGTGGAGAAGCTGGAGTCTATGTTGGAGCATTTGGGATTTACCGTCATCCGGCAGGATGGAAACATAGTTGTCCAGAGGTCCTCGAAAGTCAACGCTCTTTCGGCCACGGCGGACACACTTGCTCAATCTGGGATCGTGTCTGTCAGACCAGACCCGAATCTTCTCACCTGGATGGAGGCAGAAAGTGCTGAGGAAGAGACCGACAGGTTTATGGCATTTACGGAGTGCCTTGCCCAGTTCGGTGTTGACATATTTGGGGACGCGGTCGTTAAACGGGTCAAGGATATCGAGCTACTCGCTCGCAAATGGCAGAAAGAGGCCAGAGGATACCGTGATAAGTACCATCGCATGCAAAGCGAAGCTCAGGAAAAGATTGCCTTTCGATCTTTCAAGGATGGAGATCTGGCTCTCTTCCTGCCGACTAGAAACCAGGCCATTCGATCCTGGGCTGCGTTCAACGTCGGGGCGCCGCACTATTTCCTGCGCGAACAGGATGCCCATAAACTCCAGGCCCGAGACTGGCTTCTTGCTCGGATTACCAAGATTGAGGAGAGAGTTGTAGATCTTTCCAAGTCAATGAACGGTGCCAATCCCGACCGTCGATCAATTGGAGAGGCCAGCGACGGTACTTCTTTCGACGACGAGAATCCATTCGAATTATCCGATGGTCTCCGATGGTATCTCTTAGATGCCACAGAAGAAAAGCCCGGCGCCCCGGCCACCCCAGGGCTAGGCAAAAGCACTGTTGCACCCGCCCACGTCGACGCCAGAGGCAGCATTCGATTGAAACGTACCACGGCTGGGGGTAACATCGCGAAAACACTCTCGAAGAGTCTGGACAGCCGGCGGAACAGTTCGAACTCCAAGAAAGGGCCACCGGGAACGCCATCCCAGCGGCCCAACAATGACTCCACGACGGATTTGACTCGAGCCCCTGAGCCGGATACAACTACAGCCACGGCTGCTGGCTCGCAGGCCGCTCCTGAATTCGACGAGGTTCGCCGCGAACTGCGTCAGGGCCCGTGAGATCCACGGCCCCTGACTTCGTTGTCTGTTGAACGGAGCTGACGGACCTTCACAGGGCTTGGAACGAAGAACTCGTGGGGTTTCCTCGCATCAGCGATCCCAGCGACAACCAGGGGGCACTCAGTCTCTCACTGCCTCCCGCTTCGAGGAACCCAGCACTGCTCCGTCGCGATCGATCTCCAGCCCGCGCCCAACTTCTCGGTATCGCCCCTGGGAGAAGCTCTGGTCTGTAGATTACCGCCTGGAAAGCAGGAATAATCAGTGAAGGGTACCCTAGGCTGGGTGGCTTTGCCTTGGTTGGATACTGGGGTTAACAGGTCTCCGAAACCAAAACTTTCAAATTATACTTCCGATATCTCAAATTGGAAAAGCTCCAACTATAACAGAAAGACACTGTAAATTGGAGCTTTCTTAGCGTCACGAAATTGCCATGATTGAATGATACCCATCTATATGGAACATTGGCTAAGATTTTATTTTATTGGGGTCTTTTTTCTGCTTTCTATACATCAGTTCGCTTGCAGCATTTGATACTTTCCTCCTCTTGATCTGGGGACTAGACTTGCGTGTTACTTAGCTGGTTATGGTTGATTACAATGGTGATATTGTTTACTTATATACGTATCAACAAAGATATCATGGATTGGTAGTATCGAATTCCGCTGAGATCCCCCGATGACACCGCGGCAAATGATTGCAGTAAAAAAAAAAAAAAAAAAAAAAAAAAAACAAAACCTGATGAAAAGGAAAAGTACAAAGAAACCGAGAAAGAAAGCCGAGCCGAAATGACAGCAAGCAAAGAAGAATTTATGTATACAATTCAATTCAATATTCCAAATGTAATTCAGTCCAGCTCTTCGATGAAACCTTCCAGACCCCCAACTTCCTGCCAGAAGCGCTGAAAGTCCACCCCCTCGTTTTCAAACAGTTGCTTTGCCTGCACCATGGCGGACTTTTGTCTTTCCGGCGTGAAGCCCTCGGGCCGGGTGCTCTCGTACTGGATCAGCTCGACCCATCGGAAGAAAAGGTCCTCTTTGCCCATGGCCGTCAGCTTATCCTTGAAAGCCAGGATCTGGTCCCGTTGGGCCGACCGTGCCCGTCCTTCCGCGGTATCCTCGTCTCCAACGTGCCACATCAACCAACCATCGGCGTCGGTGTTGACGACCACCGCAGTGCGGAACTCGTCCAAGGGAATGCCGTTGCCTGTCCGGCTGCGGTCGACGAGCTCGTGCGCGCGGACCATGGCGTCGTAATCGAGATCCCAGTCGGCGTCCACGAGCAGGTAGCCGGTTTTCTTGATCCGGTCCGGCGTGACGGCCGCCACGATCTTATCCCGTGTCGCCTCGTCTTCGCGGATCCAGCGATTGCGCTCCAGTTTCTCGCTCAGGCTCCGCCGGCTGCGTCGGATAATAATCTCGCGGTCCCGGAAACCAACGTTCCGACGCCACATGACGGGACCCTCGATGAATCGGATGGGCCAGGATAGGAAAATCGTCACCAGGAAATAGTCCAGCATCACGTTGGCGGTACGGATCAGGACCGTCACTGCCAGTTCCTCCCAGGGCGTCGAGGAAGTGTCCACCGTCGGGGGGCTGACGAAACCAAATACCGTCGCTAACATGGCCGGGTACAGATTCCGGACCATGTAGACCCGGGCGGCTAGCACCACTGTGATCACCACATTGATTATGACGGGCACGTTGAATGCCTGTTTCTTGATGTCTTGCGGGGTGCGGTCGATATGGATCAGGTAGACTTCTTCGGGGGCGAAGGTTTGGAGAAAGGGTTGCAGTGTCTCGGGGGCTTTGGCGAACGGAGGAAGAGGGCCCGCCTGGGAGCTAGGCGTCGAGGTTCCAGATGAAGAGGAAGGCGTTGTCGAGCCCTTGGCCTTTCCAGATCGCTTTGCGGACTTGGCCATGTTGTAAGGTGTGGGTGTCGTGTGAGGTGGAATGGGGGTTTGTTTTCAACACATGCAGGCACTAGATGTGACGAGGAGAGATTGTGTAGGGTGTAAATCTGCCCGCAGCAGGAAAATGCACACGCAGGTATCCCCCTCCAACACAATTGACCACAAGGATGCGGAGGAGCAGGCGGGGAGATCAATGAGGGCTACGACAGCTGATCGGGTCACATGTCAGTGCACAAAGCGCGAAAGGAGGCACTGCAGACGATGATCGGCCAACAGAGGGAGGGAGTGATTGGATCTGCTTCGTACCGGACGGGGGAGATCGGCTGGGGGTCGGCAGTGACAGGCGCAGGCCGTTGTCAGTCGCGAGAGTTGGAGAAGTGTAGGGTGGAGGGAACCAGAAATCCCGAATTATTCAGATGATGCCCGCCGCTAACCCGATCGGGCGGATATTCACTCTTCTCTCCTTCTCCGGGGGGGAGGAAAGGCCATAAGTCAATCACACATCGATCACCCCTCGCCCCCCTTCCCAACATGCCTACTCCTGAGCGCAAGTCCGGGTGGTCGCGTCGCGCTTTCGAACCGCCGCAGGTTCACCGCTCCCCCTTTCGCCGAGCGCATCTCGAATCTCGCGCCACCGACCGAGTCGACGCGTCGCGAATTCCAAACCCTTCCAACGCCTCGACCGCTCGACGTCGGAGAAATTACAGCCAAACTGGAACTTTGCGAGGAGCTTTTGAAGCCCTCTCTCGCTACCCAACCATGACCGACAACGAGGACTTCTCAACCGACCCTTACGCTCTGGGGACTCCCAACCGGAGGCGACAGACCTTCAACCATACATCCCCAGATTCAAACCCCCCGAATGAATTGGCGGAGACGTACCGACAGATTGACGATGCCGGGAGCTTGGTTGACTTTGACGTGCCGGACGACGACGATGTTTACATCCCCCGCACGCAATTCCGCGGAACCCGCAGCAGGGGCTCTTCGTTAGGCTCGACAATACGGGATCATGGCCTGTTTACCCACACGGACGCGAATTACGCGGAGGACGCAACGGATAACGCATACCGTCGGACTTCAAGAGACCCTGTTCGGGACGAGCAACGATTGAGACGAGCAACCTCGAGCCGTTCTCCAGTGCTAAACAGAACCGGTACCGCCAATGCTCTGACGTCGGAGAACTTACAGCGACGGGAGGAAGAGGAGGCGCAGGCGCAAATGCCGGAAGATGACGAAGGGTTCAAGCCCGCGCTGAACCTTCCGACAAACTGGGGCAGTCGCGGTACCCATCGCCGAGACTGGCTGAGGGATATTACGCGACGTAAAGAACCCGAGTCGAAGGAGCCTTTCGAGGAGCCCACCGCCACCTCTCCTCCGAAGTTCAAGCTTGACTTAGCCTCGCGCAGCAGTCAAGTCGAACAGACCACCGATACAAATCGAGCCACTACGGATAACCGATACAGCAGAGTCCCCCTTGCAGATGCACAGAACAAGCTCTCCGAACAAACGACAGACAAATTGACTGGCGGTGACCAAATCCCCAATACCCCCATCATGGTCTATAAAAACTCCACCTTCAACAAACGCAGTCCCACCAAACGAGACTCGCATGACCTGCTTCGCAAACTTGCTAGAACTGAAAGTCCTAACCAGTCCCAGCGGCTAAGTGAGCTGAGGACTCCGGAGGGACCAAAAATGCCGGAAAATCGCATTCACGACAAGACTCCGGTGGTGACGGGCGCCTGGATCGACACCCCCATGACTGAGCGGGCTGACCGCTTCCCAGCACATCTCTCAAAAGATATCGTACCATCGCCTATCATGGAGGATCAGCCCACGAACGAGCCACAGGTCGCTGGAAAGCCTGACTCTTTCGAGTTACAGACCCAGAGAGAACAGGAGCGTGAAACAGAAATGAGGAGAGAGAGAGAGAAGAGGAAGGAAGAGAGAGAGAAAGCCGAAAGTGAGAGGAAAGAAAGGGAGAAGGAAGAATTGAAAATAAAGTCTCGGCAAAAGAAATCAGAGCAGGGTAAAGATGAGAAGAAAGATAACCCAACAAACAAGCCCAAAGACGCCCAGAAACCGCCGTTGATCAAACCAGACCTACCCAAAAGTGCCCTCGAGACGGTCATGCAAGACTTCAAAGCCGACAAAGACTGCCTTGACGTTGGTGATGACACTATCGAGTCTCTTCAGCTTATTCTCGACGAACAGCCAAATGAGATGAAAACCGAGGCCGAGGAAGACGCTGCATACGAGAAGTCAGTGATGGAAAAACTCGAGCTCGCCGGATCCAAGGGTCGTGATGTCGTTGATCTCGACGGGCTTAACGAGAAATTACGCGCGTTCTCGGAAAACATCAATCGGGTGAAGAAGGGTTTGGATGGCCTCGAAAAACAGGTTGATTTGATCCCAACGTCGAAGAAGGATCTCAAGTCGATGCGTAACCGAGGAAGCGACAGCTGCGAGGCATGCAGAGCTCACTCCCACGACCACACGTCGAGTGCAATTCCCCTTCCACATCTATGGAAACACGATGCTATTACGGGACGGGACCGGCCAACTCGTCTGACCTGGTTCATCATTCTCCTGTTTGCCTGGTCTTACGCGGAATCGACCATGTGCGACTACTATTGCCATCCGCTCGCTGCCAACGTTTGCGAGGGCAATTGCTTACTCCGCGATGCACCTCAATTCCCTTTTGTGATTCCAACCATGCTCTGGCGCTGGTCACACCTCTCCGGTACCCTCGCACCCGTCTGGGCTCTCATGCTTGCTTTATCCAGACTCGCCGGGCAACTACTGGGATTCTGGGACGGATACGTGGACGAAGCTCCTCGCGCCTACAACCTGTCCGGTGAGATCCGAATTCGGGGCAGCCAAACGCGCGACTTCGCAGTCACTGCAACCCCGACGCGAGGGCTCTTCGGCTTCACCGGTCTGAAACCACAAGATGACACCCGTCAACCTAGCATCCCAGAGCCCGTTCCAGATCTTGATCTCAATCCAAATCAAAACCTGCACGGAGCGAGCCACGACGATGGATCCATGGACGACGACGAATTCATCTAACAATGCGATGAAGCATGTATCGTGGGGTGGCTTGCTCTGGGAGACTCTTCTCATCTTTCTTTCTACCCTTTCCCCTTTCTCTCTTCCCGCTCATCTTGGATCTAATCTCTATTTTATGTGCGCTTAACTTGACTATCCTTTTCGATTATTCCTTCGATGCATTTTAACGACCGGAGTTGATTACGGCAGAGCAGAGGGCGCGGATGGGAGTAAATTTGGTCTTATGGCCACGGTGTTTTTCATGTTCTCCATGGGTCTGGAGTTTTTCTCTATATATCAGCTATTCTACATTTGCTGCTTTCAATTCAAATGCTCTTTTATTCCTGTTCGAGACATTACTTAACTACATACATGCATGCATGCAAGTCCATAGAACCACCTGGCAGGCGGTGGCAGAATCTTCTAACTAGTTACAGTGGGAGGTAATTGAAATTTGGAACACCCGATTAAGGTTTAGTGGCCTATTTAGGGACCGCCTACTAAACTAGGACTATTTTGCCCGGCAGAAACCTCATGAATTCCTATCCTAGTATTTAGTATACCAGCCCTGGGACTCGATGACAGCCTTTACACGGTGAGGCATGGTTTGGGATAGGCGTACTAGAATCCTCTGTTCTATAGCCTGCCAAGCCTCCTTAGCTGCCTGTATAAGGAGCTGACGTGTTAACTCAGTATCATTGGCGTGTTCTAGCTCAGGATAAAGCTTATATATCTCCTCTTTCATCAAGGCCCATAGATTCTCGATAGGGTTCAGATCAGGCGAATAAGGCGGCCATACCATAACTTGAATGCCCATATCTCTTAATATATCACGTAGAATATGAGATGTGTGGACAGAGGCATTATCATGCATAAAGATATCCCCAGGATGAACAATCTCTGGTAGAAAGGCTCGATATAAATCAGCGATAATTTTGCCTGTGACCCCCCCTCCAGCTGAATAGGGATCACCATCTAGAGGAATAAGACCAGTTCTAGTCTGCTCCCCAAAAGCAGCCCAAAACATCCGTTTAACCCCTTTACCACAGCGTACAAGGTGAAGATCATGTTGCTGAAGCTGTTCCTGAGGCCTAAGCCATGTCCAGATTGGGCGTTTACCAACACCTCGTTCAACTGTGCATTCATCGCTCCATTTAACACAAGCCCAGTCCTCGGGTGTCATAAATTCATATTCTCGGGCCCAGGCAAGGCGCTTAACTGCGTGTTCTGGCTTGATCTCTGGCCTGCGTTTTTGTCTCCATTTGCGCTTGCCCCATTCTCGTGTGAGGTTCTGAATAGAACGCTTTAATACAGCTTCATCGATTTCATTGATAAGAGTGTCGTACGTAACGTGATGATCTGTATGAATTCGATCATATATATGATCCCGGTATTCCTCAGTAAGCTTGCGCTTTTGGCCAGGGCGTTGAAGGCTTTTATTATCGTCTCGAACACGCTCCATTTTCAGGGTATAAGATATAGTAGAAATAGGGATTTCAGGGTGCTTTTTATTAATTCTGCGTGCCCCCCAGCCAATAGAGTGAAGCTCACATATTCGAGACCTCATCTGGGGGGTTAACTCCTTACAGCCTCTGCGTTTAGGCATATTGTATGGAGCTGAAAAGCTTCAAAATATTTATGTGACCCTATTCAACTACGCGTGTCCGGTTGCCCTAGTCCCGCTTACCATAGTAAAAATGGTAGGCGGTAGGACGGGCGCACGGCCCCATCCTCAGGGTGTTCTAAATTTCAAATACCAGTGACTGTATCTTATCTTGTTATCTTATCTGGTTGGATCCAAGTAGGAAAAGAGGCACAAGATGGATTGCAGGTATGACGTAGCCGGATCTACTTTCACCCCTACACCGCGGAGTATGCTAGTGTTAGCATTGTAATAATTAGGCATGGGTATATATATTGAGGTCTATCAAAAATTACATCCAATCATATACACAGTGAATGTCGCTAGAACTGAATCCAAACACGGAAAAATGAATGAAAATAAATGAAAATAACACAAGGGGAATCTACACCAACGCCCGCAAGTAGTCACAGAAGAAGCCATGTATGGAAAGATGGAAAAAACCCCAGATATCCACAATCACTCGACACAATGAGAAGCAGAATAAATCTCTCACAGCTTCGCTTCCCCAGACCACTCTTCCATAAGCAGCCTCTCCCCTTCCACGCGCCAGGTACTGCATTTACGCAATCGCTCGTCGACCTCCTCGTCGGAGAGAGGCACGGCATCGTTCAGGGAGAGGTTCTGGGTCGAACGCAGTTTATATGTGATGTAGTTGATATTTCCGGTCGATTTGACCGAGCCTGCGACCACGTCGGTACAGAAGTTGGCCATTCCGTCGAAGAACCGTCGTCCCGCCGGGGTCTCGATCATCATCATTCCGAAACAATGCGGCATGCCCTCGAACTGATCGACCACGACTGGAACGCCGACCTGGTGCATCCTGCGGGCGACTACTAAGCCTTCGTCTGTGAGACCCTCCTCGCCGACGGAGATGAAGACGGGGGGCGCATCCCTCCAGAGCTCTTTGTGTGCTGCCAGGGGGCTGACAAGCGGATGAATAAGAGCGTTTGCATTCGCGAAGAGGTCGACACGTGGGGGGTTGACGGGCCAAGATTCGTCCACGGGGACTGGCGGGGGTCGATAGGCTACGTCGTGGTCTTGAGGCGGAGGTGCTAGAAAGTCGTAAGGTGCATTGTGAACGACGGAGGGCATGGACCGTGTAATGTCGCACCAGGGAGAGCTGAGAGCCAAACCGGCGGGAATCTCAATGGGGATTTCTTGCCCGTGGAAGCGGATCGTAGGAGAGACGCGCCGAAGAGTAAGGAGGTTTTGAAGTAGAACTAAGCACAGGTTGCCTCCTGCCGAATCGCCGGAGAAGACAATCTTGTTGGCCGGTACAGCTTCGTGCAATGAACCGGGTGGCGGCGCGAGGAGCGAGAGGTAGGCGACTAAGGCGTCAAGAAGCGCCGACGGGAAGGGATGCTGAGGAGCAAGACGGTAGCGCACCGATAGAACACGAGCACCTGTTAGTTTGGAAAGACGGGCCACCGCAGGACGGTGCGTACACGGATCCATCAAACTGTAAATGAAGTAACCCGTCAGCATCCCCATAAGATAAAGTCGCCACGGCAAGTATACTTACAAGTATGCGCCTCCGTGGAAATACAAAATCACCATGTCCGACTGCGACTCCTCTTGTAACTTTTTGTATTTCTCTTCCTCCGATATCTCCGGCTGCGGTTCGTTGTTGCCCACTCCATTGCGATATCCCGTCCACTCGGCCTCGACAGGATTGACATCTGGGATATCGAAAGTTTCGCCACCTGTTTTGAGATGCTCAATCGCTTTCAAAACTGCGTCTTGCACCGCATCTTCGGGCGCAGGAAATGTGACTTTAGACACCCACATGGGCCCCTTGATGCCGGGGTCGCCCATGCTGTGCTTTTGCTGGACGCCGACAGGCAGGAGGAAATTCATGAGGGAGCGAATCATAACAACCGTTAGTTCCGTGCGAAGATCTTGTTTGCCCGAGACAGGAGACAGGCGCATTCCATGAAGAAGAACTGTCTTTAAAATGAGGGGGACACGGGCTATCATGGCCTTCAGGAGGCCAGGGGACATGTTAAGATTGCTCATTATAGGCAACTCAGGCACGGTAAAGGGAAACGATCGACGCGCTTGAGATACAAGGAATGGAGGAGAGCGGAAATAGGGGAAACGGTTGAAGCCGTCGTAGAGGGATGTGGGAAGCAAATAAAAAAGAAAAAAAAGAAAAAGAAAAGAAGGCGAGAAGAACCGCGGAAGTCGCAAAACTGGGAACTCGAAATGCCTCGGTTGACGTCGATTCGATGCAGCGCCAGCACACGAATAGAATTGTTCTGCAGGGAAAGTGGATCGACCGTTTTGTGGGGCCAGATTCCTTGTAATTTGTATGATCCCCTTGCTTCTAGTCTGTAGGCATCAGTCAAACCTCCGTTCTGTGCATTTGTAGGTATGTACAGCACCCATTTCAGGTGATTAAATTCTCGAATTTTACTGTGTGTGTGCCGCTTCCTTCTCCCGCGTGGGTTCATGTGCAGGCGACAAAGATCCAATCTTAGACTTATCGTCCTGTTGTTTTCGATTTGGCTTCCCCTGGCCTTTGGCCGTTATGGCCTCGACTTCGGCCTCAGAATCGGAGGTTCGAGGGTTTAACAAAGTCTGATAAACCGGCTGCTCTTCCCCCTTCAACCCATAACCGGACGGGTCCCTGCGGATGAGAAAGTGCTGGACTTTAGCCTCATTCGATGCCATTTGGTTGACAGTATTCTCCCGTCGCCCCGTCAAGAACCGCGTAGACTCGCTATTGAGCTCCTGAAGCCGAGACTCATAGCCCGTGCTAACCCGAGTGATCCAGGAAGCCTGCATCGCACCTCCGAAGAGCGTGAGCAGGATGATGAAGATGGTGAAAGTGCGATTGTCCACCATGTGTTGCTGCTTTCCCTGATGACGGTTGCGCCATCGCTCCCAGTCCTCCCAGGTGGCATTTGTATGGATGGGGCCATAGTCACTGGATCCCGATCGGGCCCAGGAAGGCGCCGGGCCCTCGCTGCGACGGGGGTGAAGGCCCCATCCTTCGCCGGAGAAATCGTACGCGGCTCGTCTGGCCGGGTCGGAAAGGATCTCATGGGCCGTAACGACTAAGCGATACCGCTGCAGTCTCACCTCTGGCGGAATGTCTTTGCACAATGGGTGGTCATGACACGGGCGATCCGGGTGGTAGATCTTGACTAGCTCGTAGAACCGAGACTTCGAGTACGGAGCCTTCTTGTCTTGTTTGAACACATCATAGGGAGTGAACGAGGAGGAAGATGGCCAGGACAGGTCTTGTTCGGGGAAGCCATGAGCCGTGGCGTAAAGTCTATATCTATGGAGGAGATGCTGTACGGAATGAAGCCGCGAGATGAGTGGCGATGAGCACGACGGAATCAGCAATTGCAGTCCATGGCGATAAATATCATTGGATTTCTTGAGCATGACCGCATGGTTTTCCACGGAGGAGACGTGGTTTACTCCCCCGATAATATTCAGGAACCATGAGAGGTGAAAGGTGAGGAATGGAGAGGAGAAGCAAGCAGCGAGTCTAGTTAGTTACTGATGTGACGAAATCCCGACCATCACGTGCCGGCATTATCTCCGAGTCTCGCGACCAAAGAAAAAAAAAGCCATCTTCCCAGCCTTCTTTCTCTTTCAACCAAACCTACTCCGTTCTATTCATACCACAAAACCAATAATGGCCGAATCGCCCGATGGCTACCGTGACCGAAAGCGGCATCGCTCGCCGCGCGACTCCCCAGGCCCTTCGCATGACCGCGACCGACGGAGGCGTGGTGACGACGATCACGAGAGCAGCTCACGACGCCGCGATGACCACCGAAGCTCGCGCCGGGACAGTCCGCGAAGAAAGTCCTCTCGCAGTCCATCCGGTCGAAGCAGCCACCACAGAGACTCCGACCGCCGTCGTCGAGAGTGTCGAGACCGCGACCGGAGTCCAGACGACGACCGAAGAAGACGCCGGCACCGCTCTCCCGACGAACGGCGATCTCATCGACGCCACCGGGACCGAGATGGAGACGACGATAGGAAAAGAGATAGGGAAAGGGAAAGGCCCTCTCGAAGGCATCGAAGCACCTCCCATTCCCGCTCGCCGGCCCGACGCTCGCGAAGCCCACCATCGCGCGAGGTGAAACGGTCGCGAGGACCTCTTCCTTCGCAGAACGACGCATACAAATCGGAGGTGCCGCAAGGAGGGGATTCCGTGGCTCCGCCGGTTGAGAAAGAGAAGCCGAACTTTGGCAACACGGGCCGCTTGGCGGCGGAGAGCAACACCGTCGCGGTCAACGGGGAGTCGGTCGTTCTCAAGTATCACGAGCCTCCGGAAGCGCGCAAACCACCCGGCAAAGAGCCCTGGCGGCTCTACGTGTTCAAAGGTGAGGACTTGCTGGAAGTGGTCCAGCTGAACGAACGCAGCTGCTGGCTCATCGGACGAGAGCGGTTGGTGGTGGATTTCCCGTTGGATCACCCGAGTTGCTCGAAGCAGCACGCCGCCTTGCAGTTTCGGTTCGTCGACAAGCGCAACGAATTCGGCGATCGCATCGGAAAAGTCAAGCCTTATCTCATTGACTTGGAGAGTGCCAACGGGTCGAGCGTGAATGGAGAACCTGTCCCAGGCGGAAGGTATGTGGAAGTGAGAGACAAGGATGTGCTCAAGTTCGGTCTAAGCAGTCGAGAATATGTCCTTATGCTACCTCCGCCGGAATAAGAGCTTACTATTACACCTACTGGAATCTATCTAAACATCGAATCTCTATGCGAGACAACCCTGGATATACGCAATGATAAGTCTACAACAAACAATCAACAAGAAGCTTCAGTCATATCGATCATATAACTATATCATTACACAAGGACCCAAGAAAATAAACAATCCTCAACTATACGAAATTCATTACACATGCGACGACAGAAAACAAAAAAGAACCCAACGATGCTACCATAGCGCCTGATTTTCACAACACCTCAATGGGAATGAGGAGAGAAATTTACGATGAACCCAAGCTCTCAACCCAAGGTCTCCTTGGCCTTGCCTTTGGCTTCACCCAAGGTTTCCTCCGCCTTACCCTTCGCCTGGCCCAGGGTCTCCTCAGCCTTGCCCTTGCCCTTGCCGGCGGCATCTTGCGCCTCACCCTTCAGCTCCTGGGACTTGGATTGGGCCGTCCCGGTCGTCTGTTTGAGCTTTTCGGTAGCTTCCTCTGTTTGTTCGTTAGCATCTATATGCAGCACAGAACAAAAATAGAACACCGGGCACCAATCCAAGTGAAGGTTTGAATTTAAAGAAAGAAGGGGGAAAGGGAATAGATCGTCACATACGGCCTTTCTCGATACCCTTGACCGCAGCACCGGAGATAGCACTGTCGGCTTTCTTAAGTGTATCCTTGGTAGCTTCGACGGGACCCTTTTCCATCCGTGCAGTTGAGGAAATCGATCGGTTCAGACCAACCGCCAGAGAAGGCGTGGTCGTGGAGCGGACGGAACTGCGAGCTGCCAGGCGGGCAGCCATGGGAGTGATGCGCATGATAGACGAAGACATTGTATGTGTGTATTGGAACGTATATGGAGATTTAGTTTAATTCAATTCAATTGAATGGTGAGATCAAAGATCAGAATATTCAGTGTAGATAGATCAAATCGATGGAAGATACGGAGTACCCAAGTCCCCTTCCTCGCCTCTATATAAGACCGGCCATGATGCAGTGACGTCATCGGCCAACAGAGCTCTTACGTCGATAAACGGTCAGTGGCCAGCCCGATGAGGTATAGCGCCGATCCAGGTCGACCATGGCATGTTCCGGGGATTGCCTCGTTGAACGGTTGGATGTACCAGGAAGACATGATGATTATGAGTTACTGGGACAAGCCGATGATGTCGTTGTCTTTTCTTCTAGCTTGTCAGAGAGTTCCTACTATTTGGAAGTGCACGTGATGCGACTGCACGCGTTGTATAGAGCTCCCTACGGTTGCGCATAAAAGCCTTTATAGCATAGAACAGAACAGTAAACAACTGAGAAAACGAATTCCTCTTCATGAATTCAGTCATTCGTTAGCAATATGAGTAGTCTCTTGTTTCTGGACCCCCTTTCCTCCACCTGAAGTGCTGGAATTTGCACACAAACGACAAATCCCCACGAACCAGAACCCGACCGTCATACTTCCTTAGGATCCAATACAATCACATATGTTGCAAAGATCAAAACAATCCATCCACCTGTGCAACCTCTTCCTGCCTAAGAAAAAAAAAAAAAAAAAAATCAAACCCGTTGATGCAAATGAATGTGAAAATGTCAATGTTCAGCCCAGGAGACGCCACCTTATATGCCCGTTATCCATTTCATCTCTGTGTCTATCAACAATTCAATATGGTTTATGTCCGCCTTCTGTGAGAACGCCTGCAAGGGGGAAAGACAAAGAGAGAGAAACCAAATCACAACTCCAACTCCATTTCTTATATGCATTTCCCTTTCTTGTATCCTTTAATGCTCTTTTGTTCTTTTTTTTCTTTTTTTTTTCCTTTTCTTGCATGATTTATGATCTTCCATGTTTTTGAAGCGCTCTTTATTCTTATGCGGACGCATGGTCTTCGAAGAACTCACACTCGTCAACCAAATCGATCGAATGCAGGATGGGCAGGGGAGCTGCCACTCCGTCCTCGCACAGTCGGCGGCAGTTCCTGAGGCTGCATCTGCAACTCATGTGGAATGAGCGGTCCTGACAAGTTCGGATGGTACATGCTCAACGGTGCAAGGTGTCCTGGCATCGCTGGGGCCCCGTAGGCTGGGAATGCTCCTATTCTTTGACGAGCCTCACGAACGCCGACTTTATGGGTGCCAAAGAACAGAGGTTGAGGCTCCCGGTATTCCCAACCACGGTCCATGCCTACCATGGGGTGACTCAGGGGGTTGATTGCTCGCAGTTGGTGTTGTGCGGCGTAGCCCGGTTCCGGCTGGAATGAGGGCGCCAGTGGCGGCGGAGACTGATATGACGGCATGTCCCCAATCCAACTTCCGGTCCCCGAAACGGCGTGCGGATGCGGCATAACTTGGTTGATATTGGTAGGCATCGGCGAGAATCGCGGAAGGCGAATTGGGTCTGTCGCCCACGACTGATGCGACTGTGCAGACGGACCTCGTGTCATTGGCTCCAGGGCTGGATCAGAGGCATAACCCCCAACAGATATCTCGGTGACCTTGGTAGATGGTGGCGGCGAAACACCGGGCATAAACGCAGACGGATGGGACAATGGACTCACGTTGGTCGCCGGCTGGCCAGCGGATGGTGGTCTTGCTACCGCACTCTGGCGACGCGCGTGGGTAACCTCAATATTACTTTCATACGGCAGCGCTGGGACATAAGTGACAATGGAAGGCGTGCTTGCGGACATGTCTCCGGTAGGACCAACCGCTCTGACTGTTGATAAATGCCGGGCCTGGTATCGCGACCCTTGGGCCATGTTCAAGTCCAAAGCGTGCAGCTGCTGTGTGAGATGTCCCTGTTCCGGCTCACTGTATGTGGATTGGTTCATGTGGTCGGTTTTGAACTCGGAGGCAAAAGCTGAAACTTGAATGGCGCTGGCAAATGAATCCTCGGAGGATTTGCTCTGAAGTCCGAGAAACGTCGGACGAGTTTTCCCGCCAGGACTAGAAGAGGATCGCTGTTTTGCGGAGGTGCTCAACTCATGTGCACGCATGGCTGCCACGGTAGCATAGGTCGGTGCATTCTCGTCATTGATCAACGGCCGCTCATCTACCAGCCTTGGGACTTCTTGCTGAGAATATGGAGGGCTCGCGTGATGCACGGCGGAGAGGGATTCGGAAGCAGATACCAGCGAACTAGTTCGGGTTCTTTCCACGATGCCGGTCGATGCACTCCTCCCTTCGACAGAAAACAACTCGAGAACGGGCGCTGCCAGCTTTGGACCACGGATATTCCGGGGGAACCGAGGTCTTTTGGGGAATTTCCCCTTGCTTGGCTTGGGCTTGGGTGTCTTTTCCACTACATGCCAACCGTGGTCGTCGAATTGCTGCGGAGGACTTGATGCCTGCTCCGATCTTGGTTTTGCCGTCGAATGACTCAACTGCGATAGTGCCGGCGATCCACGAGTCATTGGCTTCGTGCCTTCTGCATCCATTTCATACCCGATGTCCTTAGCCGCGTTTGTTTCTCGGTAGATATGCGGGACGAAAGGATCCAAGTTGAAGTGAGTGGAAGGCGGGCTCATCTCCTTCGGCGATTCCACCGGCGGCGGTGTCATTTCATTCAGATCCCATGTGAAGTGGCGGCTCAGTCCACCCTCTCCTACGGAGTCGGGGATAGAGGAAGAGGAACTACTGGAGTGGTCAAAGACGGAGCGATACTTGCGAATGGACTCTTGCGAGGAGCTTGGAGAGACCCGTTCAATCTCCTTGCTGATACTTCTCATGACATGCTTGAGATCTCGTCGGGCCTCTTGCACGATGCCCGGTTCGTTCACCAGCCTTCGTGGGAAATTGTTGGCCAACACGGAAGCATGGGTCTCATATTCTCGATAATCCTTAGCCAGGCCATAATCGTCAGTTTGATTCATTCGCTTTTGTGCGTTCTCATAGGAGAGGATGAAAACGCGGATCGCAACCACCAGCCACGAGTTGTAGTAGCCGGCCGCCGGCCTTCCTGTATCGGCGGATGGGTTTATCATATTCCTCATCTCCTTGTCCCTGATCTTCAACTCGTCTCGACAAAATCCTTGGACCACGCTATGGATTTTGAGCATATCGATGGATCCGGAGTTCTGGTAGATGGAAAAGAAGGCTTCCTGGCTACTCTCCGTCTGCGATTCCGACAACTCTGGAGCCACTGCCTTGATGTCGAGGATGTCATCCTTCTCGGAACGGGGAGACAAGGCTTTTGCTTGCAAGGCATAGGCGTCCGATGTTCGTTCTATCAGCCCATAACGAATCAGGGTCCCCAGCGTTGTGTCAATGTCCCCAGAGTCCCCAGGTCTACTCGAGCCGTATATGTCAACGTGCCAGAGTTCTAGGGCCTGTTTTCCCAGGTTGATCATGCCGATAGGAACCTGATGGCCAAAAAATGACAGAAGGTTGATGAGATTCAAAGCTTCGAAGTGATTCGTGCGGTAAAGGTCATGCATGATGCCGAGGAACGGCTCCGCCAACTTCTCATCGGTCAGGTGGGAATCGAGATGATAGCGCTCAATGGGCTTTGAGGTTGCACTGAGGCGGTGGCTAATGGCATGAATCGCCAAAGGAAGACACTCATAGTGGTTGACGATTTCGATGGCTTTGCGGGCCTGTTCGGGAGACGGCCTCTTGATCCCGAGATCTTTGAATAGAAGCTTACAGGCATCCTCAACCTGAAATGGGTTCATCTGCAGACAATATGGCTCGAACAGTCGCTGTTTCTTGCGCAATGTCCTATCAACTGAGGTGTATATGATGCTACACTGCTTGTTGAATGGCATGAACTGCTTGAAGTGGTTGAGGTCGTTCTCATGATCAAATGAGAGCCCATCGAAGATCAGCAGCCAGCCCTCACGGCCTTGAAACCATGTGCGAACCAACTCCACGTATTTCTGAGTGATCTTATCGTCTAATTCCGGGAAGTCTTCGCTGTCTGTCAGTGCCGCGGCCACCGCAATGTCCCAGAAGCATTTATAGATGGACTGGAGGGATTTGGCGTCGACCCAGAAGATACCGCCAGGATAGTCCTCTCGGTAACGCCACACATACTCCCGTGTTATGTGAGTCTTTCCGGAGCCGGGCACCCCAGAGACCAGAACGGACGACAGACCACTTGATCGCTTCTTGGCCTTGAACAATCGCGTGTGGAGGATTTCCAGCTCTTTCAGCATTCCTATAAAGGTCGAGTTTGGATGAAATCCCGGGGGCACCACGAAGAGAGGCTCCTTCTTCATTAACTTGGACAAGGACAGATCCGTACTGCCAGCGAGCTCGGACACTGGAGACTGTCGGCCTTCTGCTGGAGGCAAGTGTTTGTCGTGGGATACAACAGAGTTACCTAAGGGACAAATAGTCAGCATCTTCTGACTGCTGCTTCGTTGTGTTCTAAAGATACAATAGCGCGGTAGGATACACGAAGGAAAACAGAAAAAAAAAAAAAAAAAAAAAAAAAAAAAGTTAAAACAAAAAATCAGATAAAAAGAAATAAAATATCAAAGGCATGATTTGCAGCATTTCAAAGAGACAGTGTTTTGTTTGCTTTTCCAGGTTTTCCCTCTTTTTTTTTTTTTTTTTTTTTTTTGCCATGCTGACATTCAAACAAAACCAGATTATACATGCTTACTGGCATAGGATGCCTCTGAGGGCTCCTCGATCTCATAATCTCGCAAAGTCACAGAAGGTGAAGACGCAGGAAGGAAATCAGTCCTACCGATTGCACGAAGATCCGGTTCACTTCCTCCCATTGGTGGCGAGTCCATCCTTTCTAAGCGACCTGTCAGCAATATAAAATTTTAGGGGCTTGGGTCCTCACTTACCTTGACTGAAGAGTTCCCTGACCTTGGTCCGTTTCATCACTCGGCGAGTTTCCTCCTCCTCAGACCATCGATCAATGATCGTGTGAGGGGCGTCACGCGAATACCGCAGGAGAGCTTCTGCCACCGCCTCGTATCCTGGGGCGCCGTCATCCTCGAACTTACACATATGTCGATGGTCCGACTCGATGCCCATGCGTTCCACCCCTTCCATCTGGGGGGCAGCTGAGCTTTCATCTACAATCACCTCCCGAGTTCCCTTGACATCCGTCGGCAGGGTCTCATGGAAGAAGTAGATATGGAAGCGACTCATGATCTCCACGAAAAGACTGTTGATGTTTTGCAAAGTCTCGTTATTCGAACGCAGGGTTTTAACCATATGAGGCGACGAATCGAAGAACTTCCTGGGTAGGACAGCGCTGCAAATGTTCTGCAGCAGGAGGCCCCATTTGGCAACGTCCGATCCGTTGTGAGGGGTCCCCAGGAACAGGATACCGTACGTGGATACGAAGATCGACCGAAGGTGCTCGATCTTCTCATTTGACACGTTGCGGCAATAGATTAGCGCGCGCTTGACGACCAAACCCCCGAGGGAATGGCAGACGAAGATAATGGGGCGATCTGAACATGCTCGAAGCTAGAAGGGAGAGCAAGAGAGTGTCAGCGTTAGGGCTAGCGACCAGAGATATCCCGAGTCCGACAGACGGCCCGTGGAGTTGAGTCACTTACATTTCGGTTAGCTGCCAGGCCCGAAGCCAGGGTTTCGGCATGGTTCAAGATGCGATCTTTGGAGGCGCCATCCGTGAAGGCGGTTACGTTTGCGTTGTATCCGTACGTCAGGATCCTCACTCGGCTGGTCTCCAGCACCTCAGGCAGCAGGTCCGCTGGCCAGAAGACGCCCGAGTCGGTAGCCCAGGACTTGTACGGATGACCGTTCAGACCGTGGACCAAGACGATGTCGACCTGGGGCTTCTCGGGGGAGCAGTAAACCTGGGTCAAGCCATACTGCTTGACCCGGGCTGCGAGGGAGGTCATTGAAAGAGCGACGACGGGGTGAGGCTCAGCAGGGTTGTGATCATGCGAAAAGCGAGTGAAATGGAAAACGACTTGAGGCAGCTCCGATCAGAAAGAGGGGAGAAGACTAGCTGTCGATCTCGATGGAAGAAGCGTGTGGGGAATGATGAAAGATAGCGAAGGTATGGATTGCGGGGGAGGGAGAAGGGGAACAGGAAGATCTGGGAGATCGAGGGATATTTATGGAAGAGCGAGAGGAGGAGGGGAGGATGAAAGGGCCAGATGACGCCGACGAGGGCGAGTAGAGGGTGCCTGGTGCCTGCGGAGTGGCAGCGCCTGCATTAGCGGTGATTAGTGAAATCGACTGAAATATTATTATTCTTTAGTATCCCGTGGACACTAAATCGGGTCGGGGCTGACCAAGGCAAAGTCATCTGTTCGTTGCATGCAATCTGAAGATCAGCTTGAATTACGACCTTGATTCACTCGAGGCTCGATACCTCTAAGTATAACAGTGACAAGTAAAACACCATCCCTACACCTACCGTCATACACCTCGCAGAGTATATACGCCGTACGGAGTGCATACGGAGTACAGATCGGGATTTATTAAAGGCTTAGCGCTGCAGATCGCGGGGTGAATTCCGGCTGCACTAACAAAAACGCCAGTAACCCGACCAGTTAATTAATTCTCCTGCCAGCTAGGAGTCTCCTATTCAGCGAGAACAATCGATCTGAACCTGTCAATACGAGCGAGTGAGCTCGACCTTCCATACACCGTAGACTGAGGCAAGTATACGAGCACCGACATGAGGCTGTAACGCCTGGCTCGGGCGCTAATTTGCCCGACTTTTCTTCACTTTTGGCCCCCTCCTTTTTAGTTTGTTAGTAAGTAAGGACTTGCCTGTTCATGACTGAGAAACATGATGTGGGATCAACTGAAGAGCGGAACTTGAAAAATCACTCCATGTTTCTTTCTTTAGGGCAGTCCTCAGAGTGACAGTGACATGCACCAGAAGGCTGTGTTGTTGTTTACACCAGTTCCAGGCAGAACGTTAATCGCAAGGCTGCCCCGTGGATCCGTTACATCCTGTACATAGTTACAGTACATCATTTAGATCCATGGATAGGTAGTAGGTAAGGTGTTAGGGGTACCTGCATAGAATCCAATCAACATCATTATAATTATCTCTAAATAGTCTGGTTTGTGATTCTGTATAATCCGATCCAACCCTATCCAATCAACCCAGCTCGGTGGCTGCTCGTGGAACGGCGGCCCGTCAAGCGGTTCCAGGGTACGTTGGAACTCGACCAAAGACCCAAATTTAGTTTACCTAATTCCTCCAGGGCTTTACGGACCCTACGGATCATCTCATATTGTAATTCTGGCGGCATGCGGCTGTAGTATGTCACATCGGTCTCTGGCACTAAGCCATGTGTGACTAACTAACTCTGGAACATGGCCTGGATGCAACGATGTGAATCATTCCGAGGGTGGGTTCGTGGGTAAGGAATGAGAGAGACATGGAAAGTCGTGTTGTTACGGTAGCCATTTCCAAGGGGCTGTAATCAGTGACTAACTGCATGTGCCTAGGCATTCATGTCTGCACCAGTTTATTTCCAGTTTCGTGACCTCTCGAGTATACTGTAGTTGGAACGAGACTGAGGCCACGAACAAGAACAAGGGTGATACAATTATCAATATTGGTATACACATTTGCCCATCAGAGCCTCATCTCATCGCCCGCGGAAAGCCGGCTTCCTCTTCTCCGCAAACGCCCGCAGAGCCTCGAAGCGGTCCTCCGTCTCGATGACACCCGCGTAGGCCTCGTTCTCCGCCTCCTGGCCGCGCTGGTATCCGTTGACGGCCTGCAGCGCCTGCTTGATAGCGATGGGCCCGCCCTCGCAGATATCCATGGCCAACTTGATGCTCTCGCGCAGCACCTTCTCGCGCGCCACGCCCTCCTTCTGCTCCTCCTCGGGCAGGATCTCGACCAGCCGATCGCAAAGCCCCATGAAGTAGGATTCGGCGCCCGATACGCGTCGCCCCGTCAGAATGAGGTCCCGGGCGCGGTTCACCCCGATCACGCTGGGGAGGCGGTAAGTGCCCCCGGCCCCGGGGATGATGGCTAGCCGGGTCTCTGGGAGTCCGACGACGCAGGAGGAGCCGAAGACGCGTAGGTGCGTGCACAGCGCGAGCTCTAATCCGCCGCCGAGCGCTGTCGACGAGATGCCGGAGATTGTGGGGATGGGGAGGTTGGCGAGGTCTTGGAACGTGCCGCGCAGTTTCGAAAGGAATTCGTTTGTTCTGGAAAAATGATACAGATTCAGCAAGATACTCCCTCGCAGTCGAGAATATTATACAGGGTTGAAAGTCAAGGACACAGAAACCAGAACGTACTCTTGTTTCGTCATATCCACTCGCTCCTTCAAATCGGCACCCGCACAGAAAGCCGCGTCGGCATTGCTGGCAATGACCAAGGCTCGTGTGGGACCGACGCCCCCTTCGGCGGAGATGGACTGCACGTGTTTGGCCAGACTGTCCAGGAGGCTTCGTGAAAGTGCATTCCGAGCCTTCGGTCGGTTCAACAGCAAGACCCGAATGTTGCCAGAGCCGGGCGCGGGGACTTGGTGGGTTTTGATCACGGCGTCATCAGGCGTGGTGCTGTACCGGGCGATTGTAACGCGAACGGAAAAGACGGGAGGACGGCGAAGGGCTGGTAGTGCGAGTCGTGGGGGCATCTTGGGGAGGGTATGAGATAGAAGAGGAATTAGGTGATGGTGATCTGAGGGTTTGCGTAGTGTGAAGGGGAGAGAAGAGTAAAGCAGCTGATGAAAACCCGAAGGTGATGACGCCGGGGCTGTGGGGAAAGCTTTTTAGTTCGACTCGGCCGGGTTCGTGCGGGGGAGAATGTCCGCCCGTCTCCAATTCTTGCCGCGGATAAGCGCCTGCAATGTATTGCTCTATATAACTAGTTGTCTCTATGGTATATTGTACAAAGGGGTATAATATATACATGAATGTGAATGAAGAATAGTGTACACCTCCCGTCCTCACAGCACCCGCTGCTCCTCCCAATGAGTTTGACAATACGCCTGGATTTCTTCATGGTTCGGCCATGGACCCAGGACCTCCGACGCCGTCACCATGTCATATGCTTTCTCCAAGATGAGGTCCGCAGATGGCCTTCCATCAGAGTGATCCGACGAGGCTCCCTCCAATGAGTGTGTTTCGTTCGGCTCATGTGCCGACTGCATCTTGGTCGAGTGCCGCTGAGACCGTATGTCCAAATGTCCTTCGAGATACACGCTGATTGCCACCACGACATTTCGCAACATCCTCGGACCATTCATATACTCTTCCGACGCTGCCTGGATGTTGGATTCATAGCGACACATCCATCCAAGGACTTGTATTAAACTATCGTAATCTTCGGCAAATCCAAGCGATCGCACCAATGCGTGGAAGATGGCCGGAGAGGGAATGTAAGATAACCGAGGCAACGAGTCGGCGCCTTCCACTCTGGATTGAGGTTCGTTTTCCTTCGCAAACACTGGGTGTGTCATTGAGCCCTGGGTAACCAGTCGGTCGAATTGGCCTCGGAGGATATCAAGACCACTCGCAGTCATATCCTGCGATTGCAGACAGTCTAAATCAACATGAGTCAAGGCTCCATACCGTGCCACTTCTGCTACAAGCTGCATGCCTTCTTCTGTGGCGCCGGGCTGTGCTTTCTCGGCCATCATGAACTTGGAGAAATTGTTGCAAAGAAGCCGGAATGCCTCCGGACGAAGTTCAATTCGAAGTTTTTTCATGCGGCCAAGTAACTCCAAGCTCTCATACCAGGTGAGTACAACTTGCGTGTTTTTGTTCACCATGCGGTTGGCATGAGAGAGGCGGTTCCTGCTAATAGCCGACAAGGCATGAGTCCATGCCTCGGGAGGCTTGGACTTCCGTACCATCAGCAAATTGATCGCATGTTGTAAATTGGTTGGACTGCCGGGGGCGTAAGAAAAGAGGGTCGCAGGTTTCATATGAGCCTTGGACCGGTACCCCATAATCAAGGGGAAAGCATCCATGGCGCGCACAGAGTGTCGAAACATAAGGTCCTTGGGTGTCGGAAACTTGCACAAGAGGTATATAAAGGCAGTGAAAAGAAAGTCAGATATTTCGTTTAAGACCCGTCCACTTCTTTCACGATAGTCGGTTTCACTGCCCCAAGTAGTACACAAGGCCATGACCTGATCGTTGGATAGACGGCTGCAGCAAAGATAATCCAGACCACACCGGATGTTAGGCGCGGAGGGCAGAAGTGAAGCCAACATCTTGCTGCGCGGTCGGATACCCTGAGACAACATCTGATGGAGAAATTCACCTAAAGTAGGTGGCTCGGTATGTACATAGATCAAATCTCGGGCGGAGGAAGGCTCGGGAAAAACTTCCAACCCATCGCCTGGCAGCGCATGGCTTGAGTGACCAAAGTTATTCTTCTCTGGCTTATCTCCGTGGACTAATTTGTCAACCATCGCACCATAGACTCTATCCTGTGGGCCCAAGCCTTGATCTTGGTATGAGAGGAAGCATGCCCAGGCTTCACGCACAGTTCTGGTGGAACGCAGACGGGCCTCCCAGATTGCTGCACTGGAGGTACTCCCTACTGAATTGCGCAGAAGCCGGGGCTGGGGCATTGAAGCCCTAGTTTGGATGGTTGGGCTTTTGTCGGTGTCCCAGCCGGCATAGATTCCAGCAACCTCTTCCCAGCGGCTATGGCCATATCCTGCTTCCTTCATTTGGGTCATCACGCGCATTGCTCGACTACTCATACCTTCGGATCCGCGCTGGAAATCGATGCCTGATTTCTCTTCTTTCCAGGGTGGCCATGATGGTGCCTTCAACTCTGCAAATTGACGTTCTGCCGATGTTTTTTTGTGTGCAAGTTGGACGACAGCGATAGCTTGATAGCTCTGTCGGGTCACAGGCATAACGGGTTGATTCCCCGCCATCGCTCTGAGTAGTGTGAACTGTGCTTCCTGCTGTATTGCAGCCGACCTGAATGAACCCTGTCTGCAGCGCAGTGCGAGTAGCCGAAGGACCAAGTTGAATTTAGCCGTCATGAACTTCATGTTCTGTGGCGTCGCGCGTGAGACGCCGTGCGCCTTGTCTGACTTCAAGAGAGTCAGGTAGGTTGCGAGCGCGCGCACGATGGGAACCTGAGCCTGCGGCAGCAATTGACGGGCATGGTGGAGGAGTCGCACGACAAATGTAATACACATGTTGGGGTCAATTAAGGGTGCCGCGTCTTCTGCCCGGGCGTTTTCGAGCCACACGTCTTCTGACATCACTCTCGCGTATGCTTTATATCTGGGCAACGGCTGACCGCTTATGAGGCTGAGTGAGTATAGCAGAAGCAGGCGAAATGTATCCAAATCAAGATTTTGCCGTAACAGAAACAGCGGAATGAACGGAGGGGTTGTACGAAAATAGGGACCGTTCCTTGGCCTGCTCTTATCCTCGATTGCTAGCAGACGGAGAGCAGCCTGGTAAGGGGTGCCAGCCGAAAATATCCAGGCCCACACTGTCAGATCAGTGATGCAGTACCCACGTTGATGAAGATACTTTTCAAATTTCCTGCGACTGAACCTTTGTAGCCCAGCATCAAGATCTAATTTCTCGTCGGGTGGGCTCTTGATCTTGAGCTCTCCGGGCCTATTCTCCGGGCCTCTATGGCGCTCCACATCGTATAGGTATTCAGCAAGAGCCTCCTGAAGTGAACTCCTGTGGTTTATTTTGTACGAGATCCTTTGCGACTTGGTTAAGGGTGTCATGAGAGGGTCGTTGGGGTTTCTCGCTGCCAGCACCCAATTGCCGCCTCCGTCGTTATCAGGGTATTCGAAGACATTTTGTAGCGTGTCCATCATAAACTCCGTGGGAGTCGGCGTGATTGTTGAAGAATCCAATTTTGACCTTCTGCGAGGATTGCTTCGGCCCGTGTCTGGCCTCTCTTGCGGCCGTTTCCCTTCCGCATCTCGTTTCTTCACCGATTTGTTACTATGCGATAGTGGCGTAGAGTTGGGAACAGGGTGTGATTGTAACGGTTCCGAGATAGCTGATTGCGCAACGAATGGTTTGAAAGACGCTAGGTTGGAGCTGAATTCCGTACGCTGCCGCCGCTTGTCATTTGGACCCGGGGGGTTATAAGATTGGCTTAGGATAGTCTGAAGCCGTATCCCACACCAGTATTCACAAGTCGCTAGCTGCTCATTTTGATCGATTCCACTGATCTGCCCTCCTTGAGCTGCCACAAGTCTGCGCGGGGTTGAACTGATCGATCGGGATGGAATTAAAGGCGTGAGGGCATTGGGAGGGAGTGTCGAGAGCGGAGTCAAGTTCAGTGGGTGGAAGAGGCTACTTGAAAAGCATTCCTACGGAGAACACGGTAGTCAGTCTCTGCAGAAGGACGGAGCTAATCAAAATAAAAAAACAACAGGTACAAACCTTTGGCCATGAACGACTACTGAGCATGTGCGCTGCTCTCAGAGAGGAAACCCTCGAGCGGCTCGGAGCATGACTGAATGCCGATGACATCCATGAAGGAGATGGGGGAAGGGGCCTTTGCAAGGAAGAGCGGCGCGCAGAAGGCAACTTGACACACGGTCGGCGGGGGGTGTTGGTCTCCAGAAGAAAGAAAAAAACAGATTGATGCTGTCAAGGCCGGCTCGAAAAAGGGCCCCGGTCACGTGCGGGATCGTCACGAGTTGCGCCAGAGGGAGATCTTGTTCCTCCTCGCCCTCTCCCGCCTGCCATCCGATCCGCCGTCTCGACCCTGATTTTCTCCGGCTCTATTGTTTTCCTTTTCTCCCCCTCGAGTTCCTCTCCCGCGTGAACGACAGCCGATCTCGTCGCCATTTTGCCATTGTGGTGTCGCATCTTCGCCCGTCTTTCTCCCTCTCGTCCTGACCGCGCGCCCGTCAAACTGGCCCTCGTAACTTATTGGCGCAACCGCTTCGGAGATCCACGAGTGTTGCTCTTTGCGATATCCTCTTTTTTTTCTGCTTTATGCCCCTTCCTCCTTGAAGGTGAAACCCTTAGTTTAAAATTAATTTCAAAGGCTCTGAGTCTCGAGTTATCTTCTTGTAAAAACTCGCCTGCAAAAACCGTGTTCGACTAGGACGGATTGTCCTTTGTTCTCGTTTCGAAGAAACACTGCAGGAACGGCGCGACTCCGGAGCCATGAGCGCAGACGAAGGCGGAAGCACGGCACCCATGTCGGCCACAAATGGAGAACTGCATACTTCCACACCCGATCCGCCTACTATGGCGACGCCGGGCAAACGAAAGCGTGTCTCGAGTCACGATGATAAGGCTGCTCAGGACGTTAGTGCGTCCTCTTCGAAGGGTTCTCAGGACAAAGTCAAGCTGCAAGAAACCCTTCGGAATCTCGTCGAAATCCTGAGCAAGTAAGCTCTCCCTATTGTGACCATTTGTCGCGCATTTGATGGTTAACCCGCGCTAGGACTGACGGAGAACTTCACCTTCTATCGTGTCCACTGTCGACGTCTCCGTCCAAACCTCGCTCGAAACGCGCCAAAGTATCCGGTGACAAAGACGAAGGGGCCAGCATACAAGCACGCGTAGCTTCGGATCGCTACAACACGCTCTCGGAATTCTTAAGCGACATCGAGAGGGCATCTGCTGCCGTGATTGAAAGAAACAAGGCTCAAGCTAGTGCGACCCCGGCGGATGGAACACCTTTGACTGAAACGGTTAATCGCATCGCCGCTTTCAAAAAACACTTGAATAGTCTTGTTCGCCAGGCCCAGACAACCCCAGCTAATGTCAAGACGGAGGCATCGGAGGATGATGCGGAGGCGCCGACGAAATCTGCCCCGTCAAATGTGGAAACGCGTAATGACAGCTTGGTGTTGACCTTGTTCGGTAACCCAGCCAACCCAAAACAGCTATACTCGAGTCTACAAAAATCGGTCAAGGTTTCATTGCCTTCGGACGACCCGCAAACCGAGAAGTTTGTCGAGGTGCAGGCGCCGTTGCATGAGGAAGGCCTACCGAATGGAATAACCATTACAAAGGTCGAACCTCAGAATCTTGAGGCCAAACCCAAGGAATCCACAAGGACCTTTGGCGAGGTCTTCGCCCCCCGACAGACTCTACCCCAATTGGAACCGCCTCGTCGGGCCAGATCTTCATCTCGAGGGGCATTCAGCAGCTGGGTTGATCCGTTCGAAGCAGTCACGAACTTCAAGTCCTTCCTCGGCGATCGTAACAATTACTGTCTTGCGCCTCTTCCTTCCGGTCAGTGGCTTCAGTATGGTGGCGTCACCTCTTCGCCATCGTACTGGAATCGTCGGCAGAAACAGCAGTCGTCTCAACAACATGTTGACGAAAGGTTCCATGAGGATCCCGCCATGTGGGCAGATGACGACGCATCAATCTGGCAGGGGGTGTACTCCTCGTTCGCCCCATCTTTCGATAGTTCAGGAGCCATCGTGCAGGCCGACTCCAAAGACATGGTGTGGTGGAAGAAGCGGGGGGCGAAGCGCCTGCACATGCTGCTTTCTGTACCAGATCAACAGGAACACGAGGAAACGAAATCGGAACGGCCAGGGAATATCGGAGAGCTTGATGAGAGCACTCTAGAGGAGATGGTCAAAACGTTCAACCCGGAAGACTTTGCAGACAATGTTTCTCATATTGACGCTCCAAAGAACAAAGATGCCGAAGAGAATCAGGGGGACAAGGAAGAAGAAAACGATGACGAAGGACCACAAGACTCGGAGGATGTGCTGCGAGACATTTCGGATCTTCTGGAGACCCTGAGCTCATATCAGCGGATTCGCAATCTCGAGGCCCCGGGAAGTCAGGGCGCTGACACCAAAGAGATCGTTCCCGATATGGGTACCCCCGACGTCCCTTCGACAGCAGAGCAAACCGTATATGAGACTCTGAAGTCAAGCCTTGCAGCGCTTGTATCAACGCTTCCCCCACATGCGGTTGCTAAGCTAAATGGAGACCAACTGGATGAGCTGAATATCAGCCGGAAGGTTGTGATCGAGAACCCGGACTACCACGGCACTATGGAGAAAGATGAGTTCACCATTCAGCAAGAGCGATCTGCAGCCATAGCCCCAATGGCCGGGAGTGTAAATAGGACATCCACGCCGTCACGCTCGTCCAACTATCCAGCAGGGTACAACCAGCGCGCCTACGCCACCAATGCTCGTGCTCAGCAGCCACAAGGCAGTTTCCAGACTCCACAACCATACTATGGTGGGCGACAACCCTCCGCGTCGGCACCATACACCCCTGGTCCCCAACAGCAGCATTACGCGGGAGCTCGTGGACCAGCAACGCCATCGCAGCGCCCCGGCTACCTTCAGGGGTACTCACAGCCCACTCCTCAATATAACCAAGGAAATGCCGCTCCTCAATTCCAGAGACCCGCCCAGAACGGCTATGCTCCTTACCCGCCCCAACAAGGCATGCCTCCTGCTCAAACTTCTCCGCAGCAGCCATACACTCCCCGGCCAGGACAGCCAGCACCGTACAATGTTCCTCACGGCCCAGGGCGCAGTGCCTCTCCTCAGAAACCGCAAGCTTATGCAGCACCACGAACGCCATATATGACGCCCGGTCCGAACCCACAGAATCCTCAGCGATACGCTTCTCAACAACAGCAGCCTCCTCCATACGGGAATTATCCCACTAATCAAGTACCACCGACCTCGGGTAACTACTCCAATTCGGCTGCCGCCATGACCTATGCTCGGAGTGCTGCCGAGCAGGCGGCCCTGATGGATCGCAATAAAGTCCAGCTTGCTTCTCACCAAAACCGACAGAGCCCCTCTACGCCACAGCCTTCTATTGAACAGGGTAGCTCTCAAGATCGGAGCGTAACGCCAGGAGGCAAGCAAAATGGTACCCCGGCAGCTTCATAAGATGAATCGTATTTCATACATTGGAAATTGGCTTGTCTCCCTCCACCGTGTTCTTTTATTCTATCTATTTTTTTATTTGTTTTCCTCTCATAAGTATTCTTATACTCTTGTCTCTTTTCTAGAACGGCAAAAAGGGGAGGGTTGGTTAATGGGTTTAACATGTTATAATCGGAACTTATTTCTTTGCCTTACTGTTTGCTTCAATGTCTTTTTCTTATCCCCTTATTTCAATTCTTACCCTCGACTTCGAGAAGAATGGTTTACTACTAGATTTGATTCGAGAGAAGGAAGGGGTATCTTGATGAGCAACACATTCCTCCTTTGATTCATGTGTTGGTGGTACTCTGGGAAACTTGTCTCTTTTGATTGTTCTTGCTTTTCTTGAACCAAGATTTTTCCCGTCCCTCTCTATTTCCTCTCTCTCTCTCTCTCTTCGTCTCTCTCGCTTTCCCTTCTAATGTCTGGACTTTCCCCTTTTTTTCTCCTTTCTTTATTCTAAATTACACTACGCAGGAGGGGATGATATTCAGCGAACGGCGCGGACTTTGAAGATTTCCGGACGGGTCTGGTTTATTATATTTATCTGGTTTGGTTTGGTGGGTTAGAAGAGGATCCCTCAGTTTGATCCCTTCTTTTGTGCTTTTTTCCCATCGATCCTCTATTCAATAAGTAGGCGTGGATATGCGCGTTTGTTTTGACTTGAAGTCTTTTGATTTTTCTTTACCCTATGTATGAGCTTAATCCCGTGTATTCTTTCACTTTGTTCACAATGTATCCTTTACTACTTACCTGAGTTAGTCTAACCTTCGATCATGTTCGTACCGTGGTTTGAGTTTGTGTCAGAAGGTCCCATGACCTATAGATTCAATCGTGAACACGCAATAACCAAAATCAACAGATGGAGTTCAAAGTCATGAATTGAACAAATAATCTCAGAGCAAGTTCTGTAGTATACATAAAGGCTTTCGTGGTACAGTACACAATTTCCAGTTCCAGTTCCAAATCGAGGGTTCAGACGGGCTTCAAAAGAAGATAACAGTCAGGTTTTTTCAAGTTTCTTTTTTTTTTTTTCTTTTTTCCCGTGTCTTTCCCCTCTTCTAGTCTCGTCTGCGTGACTAGAATCTTTTCCTTAACGCCTTTTTTGTTATCAGTCTATCCCATCCTTCTTTCTTTCCGGGTGCTAGCATGCAGGCAATTTAAACGAAATGAAAAGCCAACGAATAAAGATGCGCAATGCAAAGAATCAAGGTTGACAACGACTAGTTAGTTAGTAAATTCCTTCAAGAAGATTCGTCATTCGTAAGTTCAAATTATCGATCATGGATCGTGGGTTGGTTGGTTGGTAAATGGAAAGGGTTAAGGAATGAACATCGCGGCTATGGCCATGAAACCGAAGTATCTAAAAAGGGTATTTAGTTTGTTTCACGCATTGCAGGGGCATAGAAGCATGAGCTTGAGAGGGGGAAAGTTGACATACAGTGAGGCACATCTCCAGCCGTCCTGGGATGCCACTAGTTGTTCTGCACCGGTCGATGAGTTGGACGCAATGGCAGCCGCAGCACCTCCCAC